GCCAAATTTAATCGAAATCGGTTCAAATATAGCTATAGTTCCCATATATATATTTATCCGATTTGTTATTTTTTTGTCCTCCGCAGCCGTAATATGCACTTTGTAACAACGATATTTGGGGAAATATATCAAATACAGGTCAGAAATATATTTGCCAAAATTTATCGAGATCGGCTCAGATTTTGATATAGCTCCCATATACAACTTCGTCCGATTTGCCCTTTATTGTGCACCAAACGTGTAATATCAGCCCAAATCGGATGGAATTTTGCACATATTATCAAATTAGGCCTGAAAATTAGTATGCCACATTTGATCGAAATCGGTTGAAATATAGCTATAGCTCCCATATATATTGTTTATCTGATTTGTTATATTTCCTCATCACAGCCGTAATATGCACTCAGTAGTAACGATATTCGGGGAAATATATCAAATACAGCTCAAATCGAGATCGGTTCAGATTTGGATTTAGCTCCCATATACAACTTCGTCCGATTTTTTTTCGATTTTGGGACTAAAATTAATTTGAGTTAAAAGAAATGTTGAAAATTGGTGAAATATGGCCCATTTCCATTTGGCTTGATTTATTCCAAAAAAATATTTTTATAAAAAAAGAGAATGAAGAATTCCCTTTTTGGCTTTTTGGAGCCATTACTTCGAATCCATCATGAAAACGAGATAAAAGGGACCTTACTCTTTTACCATAAAAATGTATGCCGATGAATAATTTTTTTCATGGAAAGACAATGTCTGGGGGACCCCCCTTTCTTTGGGCTGGCAAATTTGAATTTCTTCCCCAAAAACATACCATCTTTTTTTATTATTCCCAAAACTTTGCAGCCTAATTGTATACCTCTGCAACTGTATGTCAAGTATATATATACGTGTAAATACATTAACCTCAAAAGAAATAAAAATAAAAAAGTGGGGGAAATACACAAAACATTAACCTATAAAAAAATCTAAAAAAACATAACGAAACTAAAGAATTTTTTTCTTCTTCTTATTCTTAGACTAGAGAATAAATACTTATACTTATTATTTTATTTGTAAAAAAAAAATAATTGTTTTAATTTCTTGTAAGCCATTTGTTTTTATTCTATTATTTCTAACTTCCTTCTATATTTTCCCTAATAATTTCCAACGATTTTGTTATTATTATTTTGTTTTTTTTTTATTAAAAAAAGAAAAAAATTAAAAATAATAATAAAAAAGAAATATTAAACGACGAGAGTAGACGTTTGGTTGTTGTTTTTTTAACAAAAAGTAAAAGTAAAAACACTTCAATAATAATAATAATTTGTTTTCAAACAAGTTTTTATACATACATATATATTTATATTTAATAATAATAATAATAATAAAAGATTATACATGTGTAAAAAAATAAATCAAAGTATTTACATACATACTTTGGTAAATAATAATATTTAGTTGTAAATTTATTAATTATTAACGATAATGATAATGATGATGTCAAAAAAAACCCAAACCTCTAGTTTGTATTTTGCAGTAAAAATAAAAACAAAACAAAAAAAAAATAATCTACACCCATAAATTAATATCGTCGTATATATATATTTTGTTATTTTATATTTAATAAATAAAAATCTAATAAATAAATCAATGAAAATTAAAATGAATTGTGTTTAGTACATACAATACTATACTACTATATGAAATATACATCTACACATACACACACACACCCATATATTATATTTATATATAAATATATATTTGTTTCTTTCTTATTTTTTTTTTTCTCCAAATAAAGAAAAAAGATGAACTATTATTTTTATGCATTAAATTAAAGAAAGAATGAAAAAAAAAAAACAAAGAAAAAATTAAAAAAAAATTTCTGTGTGTTGTATTTCTATTTTCCAATATTTATATTATCTGGGTAGAGAGCAAAGTGGGAGAGGAATGTAATACATGTAAGATGCACATTAGAGGATTTGTGGCTGTATAACACCCCTGCGGTACTTTTCTCAACCAGTTAAGAAAATTGTTGGTTATAAATGCATTATTCTACAACTAAATACAAAATGGTTGAAAAGTCATATAAATATTAACCAGTAGTGATTCATCTCCAGATGACTTTTCAACCAGTTTGTAGTTAGTTGTAGAATAATGCATTTATGAACTAACTATAAGTTGGTTGTAAACTCATCTAGAAGTCAACCAATTTGAACGAAAAAACAGCCCTAAAAAACAAACATGATTGGTTATATCAAACTACTTTGCAATAATTCGCATAATACATTTCCAAAAATACTTCGATATAAATGCAACGTACAATAGTACAAGCTAGTGCTGCTAACCTTAATACACAAGTACATATGTTTAGAAAATCATTGCAGCCAGGGTATCTGAAAATAGCACTCCTCCTTCAAATAGAAAATAAAGAATTTGATTAACAAAAAATAAATAAATAAATAAAATAAATGAATAAAAAATAAAAAAATAACTTTTTGAACATATTTTTTAACTGACTAAAAATTCACTTAAAAGTAATTGGTTTATAGTTAGTTTAAAAGTAACTAGTTTATATTTAGTTTCAAAGTAATGCAGGAATGGACAATTGTCCACTGCCTAGCTCATCCCCATGTTAAAATAGTTAGTTGGCGTAAAGGAAGTAAATCAAAAAATAACTAGTTTTGGTTTTTTTTTAACTAATTTTAAATTAGTTGTAAACCAATTTATTTCCCCGCAGGGACACAAATAAACGATCTTGTAACCCCTTGTATAAGAACTGTAAATAAGCCTTGATCAAAATATATGAATTAGTAGTAGTAGCAATCTCTTTTGCAATGACAAATACAAATCGCGAGAGAGAAAGGGAGAATACGTGTGCTTTGTTTTCACCAATAACTGTTTTAAATGACCACGCAACTTTGGAGAGAAAGAATGTTAAACGAGAATTACTATATCAAAGTCAAGTCATGTCAAATCAAGAACGGAATATATTGGGCCCGTTAAGCAAATTACAAGAAGATGTTGACAAGAATTAATATAGCAATTGATTTTATCTACGATGATAAAGTTAGATTTTCTATTTCCCAAGATAATTCAGGACATCTGCAGAGAAAAATATATAAATATCAACAAATTAAAAAATTAAAAAATATAAAAAAAACTTTGCTGTGAAAAAGATCTGCCAATAGAACTTGAGTCGAACCTGGAGAGTTTCTAGTGTATAATTCGCATATGCTAATTTGCAATATGTTCGAAATATATACTACTTTCCAGAGAACGGCCCTTGTAAGCCATCATCCACACCAAATATGCCTGATGAGCCGCTTAACCAACGGCGAAACGCGTCGCATAGTGGTGAGTGTGTGATAGTGTCTATCTGGCTTTCCTTTTCACTGCAAATTTCAGATCATTAAGCTCGTCTCGAAAGAGAAAACAAACACATAAATCATAAAACATATGATCTTCGCCTTAACAAGGCAAAACTCAAAAATTCAGCCGAGCCTGGCTGTGGGATTTGAACCGCGGACCTCGGTGTGCAGCCAACTAGAAGTTGCCGTCTCTACGTTCAGAGCCATTAACCCGTCTTCCTAAAGCAGCACTAAAACAAGTGTATGCATTGGAAGCAATGTAGTTGTTGTGGACAAAAAATCCATCACTACAAAAACAAAAAAACTTTGCTGTGAAAAAGATCTGCCAATAGAACTTGAGTCGAACCTGGAGAGTTTCTAGTGTATAATTCGCATATGCTAATTTGCAATATGTTCGAAATATATACTACTTTCCAGAGAACGGCCCTTGTAAGCCATCATCCACACCAAATATGCCTGATGAGCCGCTTAACCAACGGCGAAACGCGTCGCATAGTGGTGAGTGTGTGATAGTGTCTATCTGGCTTTCCTTTTCACTGCAAATTTCAGATCATTAAGCTCGTCTCGAAAGAGAAAACAAACAATATCAGTCGCTTTTGCCGACAAATGTACACGGTGAGATGAAAAAACTGCAATCAACTTGAGACTGCTGTCATTTTCAAGCCACTCGGTCGACAGCTGTTAAAATTATTCCAGTGACAGCTCATAATATTGTTTACAAGCGTACAAAATAATGTTGGTAAGTATTTTCCAGAAAAAAATTTATTCGTGATGGAATTCAAGCGTGATAGTGTGATTTTTTTATATTTGGCTGGAAAACCACAAGCTGGCTATCGTTAGAGCACTCCCGCATTTAAATATCAATAAATCTTTTGTGTCTCGTACCATCGCTCGTTACCATAGTACTGGTAGCGTGTATATATATATATATATATATATATATATATATATATATATATATATATATATATATATATGTATATATATATATATATATATATATATATATATATATATATATATATATATATATATATTATCGGACCAATAATCGTGGATTTTTTAAGAATTTTCAGTTCAACCAACTTGTTTTTTAGGAATATTTTCTGAGGATCTATCAGAGTCTCAATAGTGGATTTTTGAAGGGATATTTTCTGGGGGACATTAGTGGGTTCTTAAAGTGAATGTTTCTAAGTACTAACAGATCAATTACATCATACAAAATTTTGCTTGAAATCTAATTTTTTGTCGGTTTGACGCCGGTGCAAATCTGATGCGGTCGTCATTAATTTTCCCCTTATTATAATTTTAGCTGGTCGAAAATCTCAAGAAATATATATCTTTGCACCTCACCGCTGAGATTATTACCTATTTTGAATTGTAAGGAAACAATACGTCACCTTATTATCGTACAGATGTAATCAAATACTACGAGGGAGGCAGGTGGACAGACATCAATTTGATAAATACAGACAATGATCGTTTCTGGTTTGTTCTCGGCCTAGATAAGTAGTTTCACAATATACTATACCATCCGACATTGACATTATACTATATATCACAAACGATAATTATGCCACAAAAAGTTAACATATTTTACTTTTAAATGTCTGAAAATCACATGAATGGTTATAAAATATTTGGCCCCTTCAAATAAAGGGGCGCGCGCCTTATCAGTCGTTCGATCTGATTCGTGTGGTCAATAATTTTTATCAAAACCCAAAGTATTGTTTGGATTTTTTAAATCATAAATAACGGCGAAATATTTAATCTGAAACTGGCAGACGTAGCATAGATATGAAATATGAGCGGGTATATAAAAATGGCAGAACAATGAAAACAGAATTATTCAAGTCTTTCTCATCTAAAGCATAACAATGAAGTTCTTATTTGGTCTATTGACCGTTTTGTTCCTCGCCGATGCCGCTTTGGGCCTCACCATTATTTCCCGCAAGGAATGGGGAGCTGCTGCTTCGACCAGCACCTTGGATAAATTGGCCAATGGCAAGTCGTATGTGATCATCCATCACACCGCCGGTGCTTACTGCTCGACCAAGGCTGCTTGCATTACCCAAATGAAGAACATCCAAAGCTATCATCAAAAGACCCAGGGGTGGGCTGATATTGGCTACAATTTCTTAATAGTTGGTGATGGTAACATTTATGAAGGTCGTGGCTGGAATGCTGTTGGTGTTCATGCTTCGGGTTACAACTCCTTGTCTTTGGGTATTTCCTTTATGGGCAACTATAACAACGATGAGCCCACTGCTGCCTAAATGAGAAAAATTCTTTAAAAAATCCACGTTTATTGGTCTGTAGGTCCTTGAGAAAAATTCTTTATAAAATCCACGTTTATTGGTCTGTAGGTCCTTGAGAAAAATTCTTTAAAAAATCCACGTTTATTGGTCTGTAGGTCCTTGAGAAAAATTCTTTAAAAAATCCTCGTTTATTGGTCTGTAGGTCCTTGCGAAAATTTCTTTAAAAAATCCTCGTTTATTGGTCTGTAGGTCCTTGAGAAAATTTCTTTTAAAAATCCAAGTTTATTAGTCTGTATGTCCTTGCGAAAAAGTCTTTAAAAAATCCTCGTTTATTGGTCTGTGGTGCCTTGAAAAAAATTCTTAAAAAAATCCACGTTTATTTGTCAGTGTAGATCCTTGAGCAAAATTCTTTAAAAAATCCACGTTTCTTGGTCTGTCGATCCCAAGGAAAATTTCTTTAAAAAACCCACGTTTATTGGTCTGTTGATCTTTGAGAAAATTTCTTTAAAAAATCCAAGTTTATTGGTCTGTATGTCCTTGAAAAAAATTCTTTAAAAAATCCACGTTTATTGGTCTGTAGGTCCCTGAGAAACTTTCTTTAAAAAATCCTCGTTTATTGGTCTGTAGGTCCTTGAGAAAACTTCTTTAAAAAAACCTCGTTTATTGGTCTGTAGATCCTTGAGAAATTTTCTTTAAAAAATCCAAGTTTATTGGTCTGTATGTCCTTGAAAAAATTTCTTTAAAATATCCACGTTTATTGGTCTGTGGTGCCTTCAGAAAATTCTTTAAAAAATCCACGTTTATTGATCTGTTGATCTTTGAGAAAATTTCTTTAAAAAATCCACGTTTATTGGTCTGTAGCTGCTTGAGAAAAATTCTTTAAAAAATTCACGTTTATTGGTCTGTAGATCCTTGAGAAAAAATCTTTAAAAAATCCACGTTTATTGGTCTGTAGATCCTTGAGAAAAAATCGTTAAAAAATTCCACGTTTATTTGTCTGCAGGACCTTCAGAAAAAATCATTAAAAATCCACTTTCATTGGTCTGTAGATCCTTGAAAACATTCTTTAAAAATCCACGTTTATTGGTCTGTAGGTCCTTGAAAAAATTCTTTAAAAAATCCATGTTTATTGGTCTTTAGGTCCTTGAGAAAAATTCTTTAAAAAATCGACGTTTATTGGTCTGTAGGTCCTTGAGAAAAATTCTTTAAAAAATCCACATTTATTCGTGTGTAGGTCCTTGAGAAAAATTCTTTAAACATTCAAAGTCTAAATGGTTTAAAATATTCCTTTAAAGCATCAATTCGTAAAGGCTTTTAGTCCTTTCAAAAAATTCCTTGAAAATCCACATTTGGATTAATTTTGACCTACTTCGAGCAAAATAACCACTTCTTTCCAGATTTACATGTGGCAACCATAATGAACGCGAAATGGTGAGAGAGAAATGAAACCCAGCAACTCTCAAGATCTTTTTATACCAACAACCTGAAAAACTGGCGGCAATTGTAAATGGCTAATATAAAACAGGATGTCCCACAAATTAGCGCTCAAGAAGACAAGTCCTTGATAAGGGTAAGACAAACCACTAATTTTTTTTAATTTTAATTCCTTTATTTCAAATAATTTCAATTCTTAGTAATAATTTACTTTGATTTCCAGTTGGACCAGGTCTTGATTTCATTCCACAAATTGGTGCCGGGGCATTCGGTGGCACTAACTTGACGATGGCCGTACAAAGTGTAACCGGAGACGATTTGACCACGGGACACAGCTTCGGCCAACAAGTTCTTGGCAGCCTTGATTTGGGCAGCGGTGGGTTTGCTGTTGTTGTAGTTACCCATGAAGGAAATACCCAAAGACAAGGAATTATAACCCGAAGCATGAACACCAACAACGTTCCAGCCACGACCTTCATAAATGTTACCATCACCACCGATCAAGAAATTGTAGCCAATATCAGCCCATCCTTGGGTCTTTTGGTGATAGTTTTGGATGCTCTTCATTTCGTTGATGCAAGCAGCCTTGGTGGTGCAGTAGACACCGGCGGTGTGATGGATGATCACATACGACTTGCCGTTGGCCAGTTTATCCAAGGCATTCTTGGCTGTATTGGCACCCCATTCCTTGCGGGAAATAATGGTGAGGCCCTAAGCGGCATCGGCGAGGAACAAAACGGCCAACAGACCAAACAGGAATTTCATTATTATTCTTTGGAGTCGAAACACTGGAATAATTTTCCCTTTGAGTTGTACTTCTTTTTATAGGCCACCAGTAAAGGGAAATCGTGAGGATTGAGATTAAATATTCAGATATTATTTATGATTGCAGAAAATTAATTTTGATAAACAAAATTTGTTGACCGGGGACCGATAAGGCAGGCCCCCCTTTTGAAGAGATTATAACACTTAAAATCAAATAGGCCCACATAGTTTATAGCTTTTCATGTGATTCTCAATATCAAGATATGCTAGGGCAGCTTTTGCAATTTCCTAGGCTATGTTTTCAATTTTGCTATTCAGGAGTTTGCATATTTTATTGTCAAATTACAGATAATTGTAAATTTTCAGACCATAAAGAAAGCGAATTGAAACTTAAGGGCTAAGTACATAAGAAGCTTGAAGTCATGGCACGGCCTATTTTGTGACATTTCACAAAGGAATTACAGAGCCGCACTAAAATCCTGCCGTCGTTTTTCATTATAATTTGGCATTAATATGCCTAGCCATGACTTCAAGCTTTTTATGTATTTGCAGCCTTAACCTGTTTTTAAAATGTAGTCAATGACTTCAGTATCCCTGAAATCGGAATAGAGGAAACCTTTACTTATCATGTGGTAGTCATATGAAGGGTGACTTTTTTCCATTTTATTAATGCAACGACCTTCAATCATGGGCTGTAGGGTATACAAAGATCCAAAATGTTTAATTCTTTCCCAAATGACTTCTGACGTCTTAATGATAAGGTTTATTATTTGTTAACAGATTGAAACTGATAATAAGCAGTACCTATATATATTCTGGAATTTGTTAAACGTCATTAGAAAATATATAAGGCAAACAAAAGGAGTTTATCGAACCGATGACAGCAGCCAATATACACGGTGAGATGAAAAACTGCAACCAACTTCAGATTGCTGTCATTTCTAAGCCACTCGTCCGACAGCTGTTAAAATTATTCCAGTGACAGCTCATTATATTGTTTACAAGCGTACAAAACCATTTTGGTGAGAATTTTCCAGAAAAAAAATTATTCGCGATGGAATTCAAGCGCGATAGAGTGATTTCTTTATATTTGGCTGGAAAACCATAAGTGGCTATCGTTAGAGCACTTCAGCATTTAAATGTGAATGAATCTTTTGTGTCTCGTACCATCGCTCGTTACCGTGATACTGGTAGCGTAGCCCGACGTCAAGGAAGTGGGAAGTGGACGGAAGAAAACAGCAACATCAACAGAAATGCTTCGAAAAGTAAAGAAGCAACGTCGCAGTGACCGAAAAATGGCTCGTTAGCTGAACATATCGCCATTCGGCAAATATTGAAAAATGAGCTCAGAGACTCAGAAGACCCAAAGAGTTGGCCGAAAGTGGTGAACTGCCGAATTTGGTTTTCTCCGATGACATTCGTTGTCCAGCAGTTTGTAAACTAAAAAATCGTGTTTACTTGCCAAAGAGATCAGCTGAAAATGTGCAATTTCGGTTGGCCACCAGAACTCAAGCTCCGGCCATGGTGATGGTGTGGGCCGCCATAACAGCCGATGGTCGCTATCCGCTCGTATTAATCGACCGTGGCATTAGAATAAATGCCGAAAAGTATCGCGAAAATATTCTGGAGGGTGTATAAAAGTCTTGGGCACGCAAACATTTTGGCCGCAGCCCTTGGACATTCCAACAGGAGTCAGCACCATCGCACTCAGCAAGCGCCACCCGGAAATGGTTACAAAATGAGGTTCCTCGCTTCATTTTATTTCAATTCATACCAATCCATTGGACTATTTTTGGAAAGCAAGGTTAGTACTAAAAAATACCAAAGTGCCGATCACCTCAAGCAAGCGCTTCGCCGGGAATGGGCAAAATACGCAGAGCAACATTCGGGCGGCGTGTGACGGTTTCATTGGCCGTTTGAAGACCATAATTCGTGCGAAAGGTGACCAATTCGAACAAATCTAAACTTATTCTAAAATTTGATGCTATTTCCGACATTTTTTGCTTTCATTCAATAAAATTTAAAATATAGAATGTAAAAATGATGGCGTTTGACTTTGTTGCAGTTTTTTATCTCACCCTGTATATATTCTGGAATTTGTTAAACGTCATTAGAAAATATATTGCAAAGCAAAAGGAGTCTATCGAACCGATGACAGCAGCCAATATAATTCATTTGTTTATATTGTTTATATATAGCTTTGCTTGTTTTTCGTTATTTGTAAAAAAAAAACATTCATAACTTTTGTTTATTTTTCATTTTTTTAAATTACAAAAATATATTGAAATAAATTTCGAACGAGCACAATTAAATAACAGGTTGTCTTCATTATTAGATAAATATATATTTAAACACATTTCCCAATTTTCTTAAAAATGGGAAACCATGTTTTTCTTTTCTTGGTTTTCTTTCATCTTTGCTTATCTTAATAAAATATTGATGACATTCCTGGAATAATTATTTATAATCAGTTTTTTTTTAAAAAAAAGAAGAATATCTTTGCACATTGCATTTTAAACGTTTAACAGCCACTAAAAAAAGAAGCATTTCTAAAATTTAGGTTGAGAAAAAAGTATTTAAAATTAAAAAAAAATAAAAATTACAAATAATAGTTATAGAGAATCAGGCGATTAGTTAGAGGGGGTGGAGGGGGAGGAGGAGGCAGCAGTATTTTGTTTTCGGGGAACAGGATATGGGGAGGAGGAGACGGTGGTGGTGGTTTTGAAAACAAATACAACAAATTAATGTGAATGTACATATTTAACGCCAAAAATCTCAAGTACATAAATGTATTTATAATATTTATATTGTATATATATATCCGTAGGTATTATATGTTGATGTGTGTAGAATTGCCGTCTTCAACAAAATGTCTTCAAATGTGTGTTGTTTGCTTAGTTTTTGTTTGATTTCTTTGTTTGTTTCGGGTTGGTTAATTTTTTGTTCTTGTTGATGTTGTTGTTGTTGTTGCTGCTGATCTGCTGGCTTCTTATAAGTTTTGCAAAAATGACAATAATTTAGTCTCGTAATTCTTATTGGATTCCAGATTACGCAACGAATGCCGTTCGTCGGGAAATATGTGCAGAGTATAGGGCTTGTTTGCTTTGTTCAAGGCATTGATTAGCTGAGACGTATGGAAAAAATGTACATTTTCATCGATGAGGCCATGAATGAGCAATAAACGATTATCTCTAAAAAAATGGAAAAAGAAATACAAAAAACAAATATTCGTATTAATGGCCATTAAAATATTTGAAAAGCAATAAATTTCTTGAATTTAAATTTAATTTGAATAATTTAATATGTATCAGAGGCACATGAACCTATTAAAAATTCGGCACAAACAAATTCAAGTGTTTTTTTTTTTTGTTAGAATAAACTTTGGATTTGGACTCAACATAAAGTGGGTCAAACATTTGTTAAACCAGTCTGTCTCAATCAAATGACGCAGGCATAATATAAGACAAAGCTTTGAATGTAAATGAATTGAAATTGAATTCTTTGCTGTTACACTTTACAGAAACCGGTTATGGCCCCTAAAAACATTTCAAGCGAAATCTCAATGTTACAAATATATCTCAATATTACAAATCTCTAGAAAATTCCAAAAAATTAAATTGAATTGACAGCACACTTACTCATCAGGAAACAAGGGTATATAGTTGAGCACCGATCCAGCCGTGTAACCCGATTTATTATTTTGTGGCAAATCCATATATCGCTCTGTATAACCCGTATCATAATATTCCCAATTTGTGACGGGTGCACCAGCAATGGCTATCTTAAATATGTTTGGATAATGCACTAAGCCCATAAGACTCAAATAACCACCTGTAAATTGCATGTTTTATCAAATTGTTTTATTTGTAAAATATACAACGGTTTTTACATACCATACGACCATCCATGTATGCCAACACGATTCATATCGATGTAGCCCAGCTGATCGGCCAATATTCGTAGAGCATGAACTTGATCGGCTAATTCCACTTGACCCATACGGCAACGTATGTGACTTTCGAATTTCGTACCACGATGCCTTGAACCTCGTGAGTCTATGCAAATGACGCAATAGCCCTGAGCGGCAAGCATGTGCATGCGCAGTTGATGTTTTCCCTGGAAAGATATAAAAAAAAATCATTATAGGCTTGGAGATGTTCCTAAAAAAATCTGACTATGGGCCTGGAAATCTTAAAAAAAAAACTTGACTTGGTAATGTTCTAAAAAATATTGATTATGGACTTGGAATTGTTCCCAAAAATCCACAAGTATATGGTTGGAAATGTTCTTTAAAAATTCACGATGATGTGCTTGGAGAGTGTTCTTATAAAATCCACGAGTAGGGGCTTGGATATGTTCCTAACAGATTCTAATTATGAGATTGGAAATGTTCTAAAATATCATGATAATGGGCTTGGAAATGTTTTCAAACGATCCACGATTATGGGCTTGGAAATGTTCTTATAAAATTCACAATTATAGGCTTGGAAATGTTCTTTAAAAATTCACAATGATGGGCTCCGAAGTGTTCTTAAAAATCCAAGACTATGGACTTGGAAATGTTCTTTAAAAAAATTCACAATTATGGTTTGGAAATGTTCCTACCATGTCCACTATTATAGCCTTGGAAATGTTTTTAAACGATCCCCGATTATGGGTTTGGAAATGTTCTTTAAAAAATCCACGATTATGGGATTGGAAATGATCCTGCCATTGTAGGCTTGGAAATGTTTTTAAACAATCCACGATTATGGGTTTGGAAATGTTCTTGAAAAACACGTTTATGGGTTCGGAAATGTTCTTTAAAAAATCCACGATTATGGGCTTGGAGATGTGCTTAAAAAATTCACAATTATGGGTTGGAAAACGTTCTTGAAAACTCCGCATTTTGGAGTTAAAAAATTCTTAAAAAACCACGATTAAAGAGCTTTACATATACGTGCAGAACTCCAAAATTATAAGCTTGGAAATGTCCATCCAAAAGTCACCATTAGAGAGCCTTGAAAAATCCATGAATGCAGGGGTTTAAAAAAAATTAAAAGCCAGGATAATAGATTTTTCAAAATCCACTATTATGGAATTAAATAAGGAAGTGAAATTATTCTTAAAAAGCATGTTGACTACATATTTCTCGTCTCGACTTTAAAATGCCCATCTACAGGGTGAAAGAAATCATTATCATTCCCACGGCATTCCAAAATTCCAAAGTACTCACCTTAAATGTATTATTAACTGTTTGCACTTCTGGACCACCATAAACATTCAATACAGTTGGATATTTGACACCCAATTGAAAATTGTGTGGTTTGAACACCATGGCATATACAATCTCTCCCGAAGGCAGTTGAGGCGAATAGATTTGTGGACAATACTGGGGTTCAGGTTTGCCACCTTCATGCAAATAGCCCATTAATGACAATTGGATACCATTTACGCCACCATTTTGACAGGTTTGCACTAAACGCATAACTTTGCACGAGGGCAAACGTTGAATGTTGCAATAGATTTGCAACATTAATTGACAAGACTGGTAGATAGTAAAAATAAAAAATATGAGCTATGGATACGATTTGCAATAAACCACACTTACATCATCAAATTCCACCACATACGAATAACCGGATTCTGTTAGCTGCCTAATATGTTCCGGCCTTTGCAAGCTAACGACATACAAATGTTTTTCTAATGGAGTTTCTCTTAAACCTAAAAAGTACACAAGCTGTTGTTCTTTATCAACCCATAAATTACGACCAAGCACTTCCCATTCGCCGGAAGTTAAAGCAACCTGTAACAAAAGGGAGTAAATTAAATTTCAAAACAACATCTCACTAAAATGATAGTTTGCTTACTTTGTTAATAATTCTTGGATGTAGTGTTGCGCCATCCATAATATCGGCTTGATTTTCTGTATTTGCACCATGGAACTTTAAACGTTGACTATTATCGAAAGCACTGCCCGAAGAGCCTGCAGCTGAAAGATTTTCATTACAGCCATTCAGGGGTTTTGGACAGAGGCTAGATGTAACTAAATATAAATGGCGAAACCCCGTCTCTTCGGAGGCCCAAAGGAAGGTTATTGTGGTTTCGGTAATTTCAAGAAAATATAATAGATCATGGACATTTATCCACGATTCGGAGACTTGAGTATATATGACCTGTGTTACAAAAAAGAAATAGTAAATAAGTTAATACTAAAAATATTTGAATGGCTTACCTGCAGAGGAGATATCGTCCGACAGAAAGGACTCTTCCAGCTGTGATCGGTTGAGCCCGATGGTGATGATGTGGAACTGCTATATGTTTCACAGAAATTATCTACCGGTATAAGTATTAAGTCCAAACGCTGCTGTTTGCGGTCCATTCCAGCCATCCACACACTAAAAAACACAAGAGCAACATTTTTACAAAACCAAATTCAAATGGAATTTTCCAACACATACTATTTAGAATCTGGTGTCCAACCAACTCTAACAATATACTCCAGCCATGGCAGTACACCTGTCAGGGAATATGGCAAGTCTTTTATGCACACATCACTTATTTGCAAGGATTCATTTAGAATGAATTGAACCATTTTTAGTTTAGATTTTGCGTTGGCTGTGCCAGTACGTGGAAATCGATACTCTTCCATTTCTCCCGGAGCAGCATGAGCCGATGGGAAGGTATATAAACAAACATCAGACTCATCAACCTCTTCATAAACAATGCGATATATGCCATCTGGAGAACAGTTAGAGAAATAAATTAATTTTCCGTTGAAATTAAATTGTTTTCTACTAACCATCTGAATGAGGTTGCCACCAATACCCCTGATAGCGGCTAAACTCTTCCTGCATAACATAGGATGGCAGACCAGCACTTAGAGGATCATCGGCAAATGAACGTCGTCCATCGTGGGCAAACGTTAGACGTTCCTCATGGCCACTGAGTGTGTGAGTTACCCAAATGTCGCATCCACTTATGTAGGCTATCAAATCGGAATTTTGTGGACATATTTGGGGATCCAATGCAGCCCATTGAGGGCATGTGCGCAATTGTATGGGGAAGAGCGGGCTGTTCTGTAAATCAATTGAAAATTAAAACAATAAATTGTAAATAAATGCTTCATGTCTACCTACATTATATCCTGTGTCCAGACATTGATACAAATCATTGAAACATGGAAATACTATTTTGCCACTTGGCTTGTGCAATTCGTATGAAGTAATGCCCCAAGTAGAAAGACGTTTGCGCTCCTGCATCAGCTGGAATTCCCGTGACCAAACGTTTATACCGCTCCCACCAGCTGTTGCCACACTGGACAGAGGCTGTTGCAATACTACATTCCACTGAAGTCTACAACATAGATAACAGATCACGTAAAACGAATTCTAATCTCTTCATGCCTAGAAACCCACCTTTTGCCAAAATTACCATAACTTCCCAGAAAACTCGAGTGCATTGATGGCGACGATGCATGTGACGGAGGGGGTGGTGATCCCATTCGTATGCTGCCGCTATCATTTGGACTATCTGGTGAAGCTAAGTCATCTGCATTATTTGTCGTTGTGATATTGGTTAAATTAATGTCTGTGTACAGAAGAGTCGTCTCCCATTCATTCGGTGGTGTACTCAAGAAATAGCAACGCACCCGACCATCGGATAGTGTGCGAAATTGTATGCTCGAGGGCACCATGCTGGACAGATTTGACATTTGCTTGCGTATCTCATTCACAGTTGCCTTAATTTCGGACCAACTTTTTTTGGGTGTGGGCGCAGGGATATGGCTGTCTTCACCATCGTCTTCTTCGTCGTCGTCCTCGTCACAATCTTCATCTTCGTCATCAAGTTCTCCATGTGGAGGCGTGGTGCTGGTCGGTGAACTGAGATGATTTGAAATCGCCGAAGCAGCTGCAACAACAACTTCCGCCGTTGTTGCCGAAGCAGCGGCCGCTGCAGCTGTAATTGGTGATGTCAAGGAGTTGAAAGCTAAGCCAATGGAAGAATAAAACGCATTGGCCGTAGAACCTATACTTGTCAAACTTGCAATAGAACTAGCTCCACCCAAAGCTCCACTAACCAAACTTGCAGTTGAAATGGCTGCACCACTTCCCAGCGCAACCGCTGCCGACGAGCTGCTGGAGCTTGGTGTACTAGCAGCACTTTGACTCTGACGATCACCCGAAACACGCGACGCAAAGCCGTCTAATAGATTGGCAAAAGAAGAGGTATTCCTTTCAATGGGTGTTGGTGGTGATGTAGCTGCAGCAATTGCTGACGTATTGCCTTGGCCGTTGTTGCTGCTGCCGCCGCCAACACCACCACTACCACTTTGTATGGCTGAAGCAACATTAATACTTCCTGATGCAGAACTGCTGTTTGTAGTTGATGTCGACGACTGCATACGATTTCTCTGCTGTGTCATGGTGGTGTCCATAGTTTCCTCCTCTTCTCACACTCAAGCGCGCTCGCACCGCTTTTTTCCCGTCGTAAACTCCGCAAAACTTTCTAAAATTATTCGACCAGTGGCAGCATGGATTTTTCGCAAAATTTTTTACCCCGCAATCACAAATCAAATTGGATTTTAATTGCCGCAGGACACTGTAAAATCTGGCCCAATGTAACCGTTGTTTTTCTGCCTGCTTCTTCTACTGCTGCTGCTGTTGTACTGTGCTTTTCTGTTCTGCTGCTCCCTTTCTAATATTTCCTCCTTGTGAGATTCCAATTCCTTCTTCCTGTTCGATTCGCAATTATCATCATATTGCAGACAGAAGAGTTCTAGACCGATTTACTTTCCTTTGTCTTCAGGCAATTTTGCGATTTTCGTCCTACTTGGCGTAAATATAAAATGAGGATAAATTGTGAAGAAAAACACCATGAACAACTTTTTTTTGCAAATTTTGCTTAGGGCTCGCTAAATCGATATTTGAAAAGAGTTCGCAAGAGTTGGTTGGCCTTCTCTTGTGTGAGAATGTGTCAATCAAAACACAAAGCAAAAATATGACATCGAATTGCATAGGCATGTTTGTGAAGAAGAATATTTTTTTGGAGATTAATAAAAAATTAATTATTTTTTGATTTAAATTTTGTTTTTCTTTACAAAATTTATAATTTTTAAAATGGGGAAAGTGTATGACGGCATAATCAAAAAGAAGATTTTCCAGTGAAAACAGTAAAGGGTTTCAATGTGAAGTGGGGTACCCATTCTATGTTTTGGTTGCCAAATATCGTATTACTGCCAATTTTCACAAGTTGTCTGGAAATTAAAAAAATTTTGGTGGTATTATACATGATCTATTAAAAAATTGTTAAATAGAGCACATTAATACCAGCTTTTTGAGAAATTTATTTACAGCGTCAATGTGAATTCCAAGATGGCTTTTTGTCATTTAAGCATCATATTAGGGATATTCGCAAAGTGACTTAGAAACTTAAATTTTGCAATTTTGAGGCGTACTCTTAGGCGTTTTAATTAAAATGTTTTGAGCCGTGTTAACCTGTCAAAACATTTTTGGAATATTAAATTTTGAATGAAAAATTATCCAAATTAGTGAAAATTGTGGAAAATCATTTCTGAAATTTTCTGAAGAAGATAGAATACTAAACATAAATGAACAAAGGCTATTTTACGTAGGACTCATACATGGTAGAATTAGGAAGATCATTTCCTGCGATCTCATTGTCAAAATGTATATTTATAAATCCTTTGTATATGGCCTTCAAACGGCCAATGAAACCGTCACACACGCTACCCGAATGTTGTTCTGCGGTATTTTGGCCCATTCCCGGCGAAGTGCTTGCTTGAGGTGATCGAACCTTGCTTTCCAAAATACTCCAGACACAACAGTTCAACGGATTGGTATCCGGAGATTTTGAATGGCTTTAGCTCGAGTTTCGATGAAGTCGCATTTTCACTTTCCGTCCACCACTTTGACGTCGGGCTACGCTACCAAGTAATCACGGTAACGAGCGATGGTACGATACACAAAAGATTTATTCACATTTAAATGCTGGAGTGCTCTAACAATAGCCACTTGATGTTTTCTAGCCAAATATAAAGTAATCACACTATCACGCTTGAATTCTATCGCGAATAACCTTTTTTCTTGAAAATTCTCACCAAAATGCTTTTGTACGCTTGTAAACAATATATTAAGCTGTCACTGGAATAATTTTAGCAGCTGTCGGACGAGTGGCTTAGAACTGACAGCAGTATGAAGATGGTTGCAGTTTTTTCATCTCTCCCTGTATTTTCTATGCATTAAAATTTGAAAAATTCAATTTGATATCCTTTAAATATTAAGCTAGGACAATCTTGGTTTACCGCTGTGAAATATTTAATTTTGTTGTTGCAAAATGGTGATCCCTTTATTTTTATTTTAACGATCTCGTCACTTCGTAAAAACAGTTCTTTGTCATAGAAGTTATTTTTAAAATAACTTCTGGGGAGAATATCCCAGACAAAAACAGAACTGATGAGGATTGGTGGCTCTTTCCGAAACCTAGGTATTCCCTGCATTACCCCCTGGAAAACATTAACATCGTTCTCTTCTAATAAACAAACGTTGTTTTTATAAAAACAACAATAAAGGGATTAAGCCTGACCTTTTTGCAATAACAAAATACTATGGTATTCCAAACAAACATGTCAACACTTTTTTTATAGTTAATTTTGGGTGAGCTGTCCTAATTCTTATAGTCGGGATGATATATTTTGGGAGCATAATCACAGAGTTAATTCAACGCCTTAAAATTCGAGAAACTTTTTGTCCACAAAAAGAGGCATTCCAAGGCCTTTTCATACACCTTTCAAAAATAATCTCCCATAGAAAGTTGTTTCTCATCGTATAACTGGTTTTACAGAATTTTCAAAGAACATTTCATTATTTTTGCTGAGCTTTGTTTAACATCAAAAATCGCAATATAGACGATAATTTATTGTTGGTCATCTTGATTTGAATACTAAATTTAACTCAACCCGGAAATATAACCTGCTGTGTGCATTTTTTTTTGTCATATAAACAAGGCAAGAGATGCATATATCGGAGTTTTTTGTAGCATTTTATTTGGGATTATTTAATTTTTCTTTTAGCCTAACTTGCCACTTCAAAAGTATTAATTTTAATTCATTAATAAAAGTAGACATTTTCAATTTTTAATTACCAATTTTTTATTAATTGAAATTATATAGCTCTGTCAAAATAGTACACTTTGGTAATTAATATGAGTCTGAGAAACACAATTCTAAAATTTTCCCCGACCAATAATAAATATGTTTTACATTTTATTATGGAATACTTTTTTGCTAATTATAGAACAATTCTTATTATCATTATGTATTTAAACGCATATCAATCTTGCTTCTCACAGACATACTAATTACTATCCTTGCCAAGTGAACTTAGTGTGTAAAAAGCAAAACTTAATAACTAGATATATAAATAGTAAATTTTACAGATTCCATTAGGAGAGATAGGGATAGAGTTGGTTTCTTCGTATAGATAGATTTTTCTTTTTTGTTTATCAAGAGTATATGATCACAAGAATTTTCTGCTGAACTATGAAATTAATTCGTCTAGTGCTTTATTTTTATTATTCTCATTGCGTAATAAAGCTTCGGATATTTTAGTTTCATCAAAACCCAAATCGGCCAGTTCGCTTAGGGGTATCAGATGTTCGATTATCTGTAAGGAAAATCATAATATTTTCATTTCACATTGTTTTTGTACTATGATTTTTAAATGTACCTTCTTGTCATCGGCCCCCAGCAATTGAACTACCCTAGCTACCCGAGATTTGGGAAAACCCATACAACTAATTTGTTCGGCCAGTTTTTTGGCATTGGAATCCAATTTAGCAAAGAGGTCCTCCTCAACAACCACATTCGTTGCCTTGTTTTCTACTAAAAAAATAAATAATTTTGTAAATATATTCAAAATTAAAAGCATAGGCGAAGTATTGATATTTACCATGATTTGCCACAGGCGTATTATTATCCAAATTGTGGCTACAATTCCTGGTACGTCTCAATTCTGAGTTACGTATCTCATCCCTAAGCTCCTTAAGAATATCGGGAACACTTTTCCACTTGTTGCTATCCTGTTGTGTTGCCAAATCCATAGACTGACCAGCATTCGTCCCCTGCAAAGCATACACATTCACATGCTGTGGATGTATGCTGTTATAGTTATAGCCCACATTTCCAAATGCATGCACGGTATGGTAATGTATCGGCTGATGTTCGAGACCAGTTATTTGCTGATGTTGCTGAGACGATAGCACACCGTTGATATTATTATAGTTTAACGCCGCAGCATTGCTATAATCGTTAAGTTTATTTTGGGCTTCCTGAGCAGAGTTCAAATTACCAAGGTCATAGCTAAATTTTGGTAAATATGTTGTGGGTTTTCTTGGAATGTTTTCACTAAGGAACATATCGGCTTGAACATTCGGTTGTCCACCAGTCACCGACTGTGTGTTTTCTTCATGTTCTCCGGCAACGTCGGGAGCGTTTGTGTCCGTTGTGGCCACATCTTGTCCATTGCTTTCCACCGCTTCTGATGATGATTTCAATTGAGTATTATGCAGCACTTGGGCCAAAACGTCCAAATCATTGATGGTCTTCAATTCTATGTTATCGAATGGCGAGGATGTGTCATCTTCGAAATCTTTGTAATTAAATGATGACGACAACGATGACTGAACTAAGGAGTTGACATTGCTGGTTATACTATTATTGGTATTGCTAGTTGGACTATTATAATTGGACAATACTGTAGGTTGCAATATATTGTGGAAGCTGTTGACCGACTTGGTCACACATATTTCCGGAAAGCATTCGGCAACAGTGGCTGTGGTTTCGTTGGTCTTCACATTTCCCGATTCCACCGGATCGACCTCCGTTTCGCTGCCAGACGAAGACAACTCATCGGCACTGGGATATGAGACACACATAAGCAAATTTCTTTGTCGTTTTTCGTCTTCTTGTCGTTGCAGTTCCCGTTTGGCTTTACGTTCGATTCGAGCATTTTTATTACGCTGACGTATTCGCTTCCATTCACCTATCTTTGACAAAGCCTTGTGTTCCAGCTGCAAATCATATTGATATTGTGGCGAATCCTTGTAAAAATTTTCTGGTAAATTCAATTTGTTTACTAATGACTGGGGTAGTTTGTAGATTTCAGGTGGTGGTTTATATTTTTCTGCTATCTTAACAGGAACACCTTCCATGTAGTTGGCATGGTTCATAGTGTATTGGTTGATACGAGACGCTCTATTGTATTGGCAAATTTGCTGGACAAATTTACAAGAAATTGAAAGGAAAATGATACACTTTTTTGTTTTATTTTTTTTACAAATAATTTTAACACTAATTCTTCTTTCCAACCCTGTCTACTCTTTACACAAACACATTAATAATTATTATACATATACACCAATACAGAGATAATTGCGAATGAAGGAAGAGGCAATACGTCGAATACGCCAAAACAGCAACAGCTGTTTATTCACTGAAGAAAATAAGTAACTGATAAAAGCAGTGTTTTCAAGTCATATTTGTTTACTTGATGATGAGTCACGGAAGTATTTAAATGAACGTCTCTATGAAGTTCATGGCGTTATGGCTGGCATCGTTTCACAAATCGTTGGATTTAAGAATACTGTCAATGTTGAATTCTAACTATTTTTGTCATAAAAAAGTGTTTAATCATTTACAATAAACAATGAAGGAATGATGGCAACTCTATCACATGAATGATTTGTATAAATCACATATGTTCCGTTTTCATGGTGCTACTTTAATGGAAACACAATATATGCAAAAATTCCATTGTTATTGTGGGGAATGAAAAATGATGATGTGGGGTATACACTAGCGAACATAAAATAGACTTGTCGAATTTACGTTTACCATGCTCCTACAGAAATTTGAACAATATTTTTTGGCCTCAAAACTATGTTCAAGAATTAACGCGACCAAACTAGCTATGATTCGTGTAGAAACTCAATTTAAGAGGGAACAATTTAAATGGGTTTTTTTGCTGGATTTTTTTGGCTTAAGTCAAAGGAGTTTTAGGTTGACCTAGTTCGATTTTGGCCCTAGGCTCCTTTGTTCATTTCCGAAGAAGCCAGCCTAAGCCAGGCTTAAGTCATCAGCCAGCCAGATAAGCGCTTTATGTATTTCCAGCTTTAGGCCAGTCAAATAAGCACTTTATTTATCTAATGTTTATGTATCTAGTTTAGTAAAAACTCGTCGATTTTTTCGAAATTTTTCCATGTTTTTTAACTTGATTTCGGGAAACTGGGACGGACTAGGAACCCCAGGTTTTTGACCCGGGCTAAACCCGGATCCTGTTAGCCGATATAGACAATATGGACATATCCAGAAGATAATATCTCTGGACCCGAAAAGGTACTAGCACAAATTGTTGTATTTATGAAAGGTAAGAGTCTCAGCTACAAAATTCCGGATACAAAAAATCTATAATTTGACTATATCTTCCAAACAAGCTTTCAATGATACCTATATTGTATATTTCGGATTAGTGGATCCGCGTCTAGCTCGAGTCCTGAAGTCTGACTTTCTGTGGTCCCGGATCTGTCCCCCAAGAAAAAATAGTTTCCCGGAATCAGGCCTCAATTCTTGTTCTATGAAAATGTGAAATGAAAACTTGTATAAAGAAAAGAAATGTCAAATGAAAAATTTTATAAAGAAATATTTTTCATTTCATATTTTCATAGAACAAGAATCCAGCTCCAGGGTAAAAATGCCTACCTCTGGAAAAAATTAGAGTTGTTCCAAAAAATTATAGAATTTTCACGAAGAAAATGTATTTGTAAATCATTATGCGTAGGGTGTGTTCAGTCATTTTTTTAGTCTCACATTCCCCCTCATTCATGAGTAGTACTCTCATTTCCATATACTCAATTCATTCTTATCGATTTTCAGAACCCTTGCAGACTGTCTGCCATTGCGCTTCAGTCTCATTCGTAAACAATGTAGTAATTGACCAGTTTATTTCTGTTTGCTTTCTTATCGGTCTTTCTTTTGTCAATTTTTATTTGTATCGTTTGATACTTGTGTTTCGTATCCTGTCTGTCCTGTCGGTGTTCTCTCTTCGGAACTATGGACGCCAACGCCAATTTGGAAAAAGCCTTGGTAATAAATCGCCAGCTACAACTTCAACTGTACGCAGTACGTGAAAAAATCGAAAAACTCTTGAAAAATGTCAAAGAGATTTACCAGGAAAATGAGGAACTTGTACGCACCGGCATTTCGAAGGGCAAAAAGAAAGGATTTGGAATGCGTGGGGCGTACATGAAGGGCGGCACCTTCTATTTGAAGGGAAGTATGTTCTTTAAGGACTACGATTGTCGAAACTGTCCCGACAATCCGGATTATCATGCGAGAAAGCAACAAGGTGAAATGTTTCCCAGAGATTTGGATTTAAAAAGTCGACATGTATGGTCGTACAAGGACAAAAAGGGATTGGTGGAAGCAATCAAGGAACAGGTAGGCAGGGCAAAGTTGTATAAATAGGGACCATTTTTTAATCACATTTCCCCTCAGATTATTGATCATTTAAAGCAAACGGGCCGCAAAGTGGACTACAACACCAAAGACATAAATAGCGAGCAATTGGTGAAACTACTGGAAAAGGTATCAAGTGACTTCCGCATTGACTGGGAGGACATATCCATGCACAATCTGCAACATCGCCACTCAATGAACAGTTGTGAGGCCATGTGGAATGTATTTCTACATCCATCACTGAAACGTTCTGCTTGGACGCAGGAGGAAAATCTCAAACTTGCCGATGTCGCCAAGAAATATAATTTTCAAAATTGGCAAGCTATTGCCAATGAAATTGGCAGAAGGTCTGAGTTCCAGGTGGGCACCCTTTTCAATTTTCTAGAGTTTCCCAAATTTAATTATGAATTTTATATTTGTAGTGCTTTGTCCAGTATCAGAATTATATTTTCTATATGGAAAACGAAAAGTCCTTCAAATGGAATAAGGAGGAAGATGAGCGTTTAATAGAAGTGATTGAAAAAAATTCTATCAATGGTCAAATCAATTGGAGCAATGTCATGGTTCACTTTCCACACAGGGCCAGGACAACGCTGCAGAGTCGTTACACTTATTCACTTAATCCAAGAATAAGTAGAGGTAAGAACAATGTTTTGTGACAAATGAGTACATATTTGCATAACTCCAACGTTTTTTTCAGCACGCTTTACCCCCGAAGAGGATCTCCTGTTGCTGGCTGCTGTAAAAGAGTATGGCGGTAAATTTTCCTATATTCCTCGCTCCCTATTTCCCAATCGAACAAGTTTACAATTACGATCTCGTTACCTTAACACATTGGTACATAGGCACAAGCAACAACCCTGGACCCTGGAAAGCGATACAAAATTAATGGATTTTGTGGCAAAACATGGTACCCATTCGTGGAAGAAATGTGAAGAATTCATTCAAACTCATTCACGTACAAGTTGTCGTACCCGCTTCATGGTAATCAAGAGATTCTTTGAAAAAAATCCCAATGCCAGTTTGGCAGATTTGCAGCGTAAAAAGAAAAAGAGATGGACTTATGTCAATACAGAAAACTGGACGGAAAAACTGGAGGAGTTGCGAGAAAATCCCGATGCTCTTGTGGCAAAACGCATAATAGAAAAGAGAAAACCATCAAAACCGAAAATTAAAAAGGAGCCCAAGCCGAGGGTTAAAAAAGAACCCAAGGAAAAGGTGAAAAGGAAACCGGCACGAAAACCAGCCGTTAAAAAACCTCCACCGCTTCCGAAACCTAAAAAACGACCAAGAAAAATTTACATACAACGTTTGCGTAAAAATGGTCGGATTTTGTATCATAGTGTGAAATATGCATACGACTATAAGCTTGGTGTCCATCCAATTTTAAACAACACTCCCAAATATGATAGACTGAGTTTTGTGCGACATGCACTGCAATTGAAAAATCGTGAAGATGGAAAAAAGTTTCGTTACGATGTGAACATTCCCCAAGAACTACGTCGTAGAGTCTTGGTAAACTCAAAAAGTAACAAAGACATTGTAATACCTAATGGATTTTCATTGCCCACCAGCTGGTCCACAGCAATGGCGTTTCGGGCCTTGTGTATACACACGGCACGACCAGATCTGGAAACTGTGACGGCACCAAGCTTCGATGCTTCGAATGAACATATCAATTTATTTCGTGAACGTTTTCGAACTTTATTCTATACAACGGGTCTACTGAGTCGTATAAATCCTCAAATGGTGCTAGCACCTGATCCACCACCAGAAAATTTGACAGAAGAGAGTTCGACCCTGAATCCAAATGAATCAATAGATTCGCAGGCAAATGGCGCAGAAGATGGCGATGATTTAAATCGCAATGAAGGCGGGGAAGATGAGCCACCTCTGAAAAGAATAAAAATTACCAAGAAATTAACTCTCGTCGATCAGATATTGTGTATCAAAGGAAAGGAGCCACTGGGAACGTAATAGTTTTAGTTTTTTTTTAGTTTAATATATTTGTGATTTTTCTTGTACATTAAGATTATTTGTAAGAATAAATATAACTAAGTAATTTAACATACTTCGAAGACCATTTCCACAATGTGGTAACATGATTTGCATTTGATATGTTTGGTCCAGCAAAAGAAATTGTTAAAAGGATTCAGCCTGTGATTTGTATGTGTCTTTTAAATATCCTCAATGAAAAGTAATTCACATTTGCAACATCTGAATACCGAAAGGGAAGTAGAAAAGAAGTCAACAATATTCAGAAGGTTTGGAGATGTTATCAAAGTGACCAATATCTTTCATACCAATATCCAAAAGGTTTGGAAATGTTATCAAAGTGGCCAATACCTTTCAATCCACTTGGAACTTCAAAAAAATCATGCGAGATTCTATGATCATAGAAAATAAATCGGACTTCCAAGCATTGAAAAAGATTGGCGATTACAAAACTCCTATTTATTCTATTCTTTTCAAAACATCAATGGTTGCAAAGTTTCAAATCGGGCTAGTTTTTATATACCCTTTCCATCTGGCTACAGAGGGTATATATCATTTGATACGGCCAAAACGTGCCTCATCGATATGATGGTTTTAGACCCTGGCTCTCTTTGGACCAAATCCGTCTCAGGACATTTGGAGTCGATATAGCGATGTCAGTCTGTTTATCTGGCTGGAGCGCACGATAGCTCTCGAAGGATGTATCCGATTTGATCCAAACTTGGTACATCTTAATATTATTATCAAACTTAGATCGAGTTCGTAGATGGGTAATATCGGTCCACTCCTTCTGGTACCTCCCCCACAAAAATTTCAAAGAAAATATTTTGCTGCACAGAGAGAGAAAGGATGATCCGATTTTGCTCCAACGTTGAAAATCCTTATATGTGCATCAATACTAGGTCAGGTGCGAAAATGGAAAATTTGGTCCACTCCATCGAGTACCTCTCCCCAGAAAGGGACAACATTTTGAATAATTATAACTTTTATAAAATGTGATTTAAGAGAGAGTAAAAATGGAATATATCAATTCAAAATTTTGAATATCCATGAAGCTTATAAAACGCGAAATTAACATCCGATTCCATTCAGACTTGGCATATCTCAATCGGCCCTATTACGGTTATCGTCGGCGTCGCAAAATTAAGTCGAGGCGACAATAATGATATTAGGGTTGTCGTTTTTTGTCGATAGCGACAAATGGTTGCCATTATCATTGTCGATACAATAGTCGACGTGAAGTCGATTTTTGAGAATATCTGTCGCCGTAAAAAATTGTGATGACATAGCATTTTTTAGTCGACGTTGATATTGTAAGCATTTTGTATTTGATATTTGAGCATAAAAATAACAACAGCAAAACAATTTGAAATGTTGGTTTCCGAATTGGAAAAAAATCCATGTTTGGTAAAAGGGTTTACCCATGGTACAATGAAGAGAAGGTAGGTCAACTTTGAAAAAATTGCAAGTATAGAGGTCTACCTGTTTGGCTTGTAATGTCAGAATTACTATCAAAACAATAAAAAAGCAAACAACTTGTTGCATTGATTTTGAATAAATAATTTAAAACCGCGAAAACTGAATGAAGGGTCGAAATTTCTTTTCAATATCATGTTCTATATATCTCTTATGGTTTATTTCGCGACAAAAACTGTAGATTTTGTCGATGCATTTTGCAATAAGCATTTTGAAAACACCAGAATTTGAATATTTTCTGAACAATTTTTTATTATTGAAAAGAAGACACACACGTAAGCAAATGAAGTTGACATATTAAGCCAGAAAAATGAAAAAATTTAAATCATATGGTAGTTCTGCCCTACCTTGAATTCATTGTACTATGGGTTTACCAAAGGTCATGTTCCAGCTAATTTTAAATCTGATTGGGAATCTATTGCTACAAAATTAAATGTAAACGGGCCTCCTATTAGAGGCTCCGATGGCTGGCAAAAAGTATGTAAAAATTAAAATTATTTTTGTATGTTTTTATTAGTTGGTTTTCTAAAATTCTTCTAGGTTTGGAAAAATTTAAAACTAAAAAGGAACTTGTGCACAACAAAGATGAAACCAGCAGCACTGGAGGTGGCATTTTTAAGCAAATGACTTTGTCGCCATTGGATGAGTCTGTCGCTAATATAATGCAGTTTCAAAAGTTACTGAACAAACCAGGTGGTGCACTTGGAATAGAAAATAAGGAAAACATAAGGGTAATAGACGTTATAGTTCATGAAAATGAGCAAGTGGACAATGCTGAAGACGAGACTGATGTAACCTACTATTGAAACTTCTCGATCGCCCAGAAAAAAACAATGGTAAAAAGTCATCAAGGAAAGTACAAACTATTGAACTCTTGGAAGAGCGTTATAAACTTTTGGAACAACACAATCAAGAGCCAGGCAATGCAAATATGTTTGTTGGTTGCCTTAACACTCGCCGCTGCACTACTAATACACACTTCTTTTCATCCTCACTTGAACTTAAGATATGTAACGCATTTATAATCTTCATTTTTTTCACTATATTTTTTATTTTTCCAAAAGAGTCGACATTAGAATTCAAAATACCAAAAAAAAATTATCTTTTTTGTCAATAACAAGGGAATGTTGCCAATGTTTTTTTAATTGTTGCCAACTTTTATTTTAAACTGTCGATGTCGCTTCTATGCCTCACCGTAATAACATTTTTGAATCGAAGCGACGGTGAGGGCGACTTGCACATAAAGTCGACGACGACTATAGTAACGATAACCGTAATTGGGCCGAATATTTCTATCAACACAAGATCTGTTATAAAGACGGTAGAGATCGGATTTTATGAATCTTCAATTATAGAGCTGAATTTTGATGACACTATTCAAAGTCTACCAGAACTTCCTTTCACTTTTAAAATATCTGTAAATTCGCACCCATAAAATAACATAATTTTTTTTTATAATTTTATTATTTTTAGTATAACTTTTTCCTTTATTTAACATAACAACAATGAGATACAGTACTTTTGATAATATTGTGTCAAATGTTTAAAAACTAAATACCATATCATTTCACAGGAGTATTTAGTGATAGGTTGTTAGGATGTATTATCATTTTAATTTCTTTTATTTTTTCCGACTTTGTCTGAAGACAATTACATAGCGGGGTTGTTATTTGAAGCATCAACAACATTAATAATAAATATATCAGATATATAATGATGAAAGGTATGTATGTTGTGTGTTGTGTTTATATATGAATTGTGTTCTTCTTTATGTTAATATTAAGATCTAAAAAAATATATGTAGACAGGGGGAGGAGGGGGGTGGGTGTTACTTAAAAAATATAATGCCAACATCATTACTTTGCCTTGCATAGTTATTTTGCGGCGGGTATCAATTTTTATTTCTTTTTCCGAAGAAAAACCAAATAGGTTAGGGCGGGGATTTGGGGAAAGGGAAGTATTAGAGCCTATTAAATTGTGACCTTTTGTGTTGCTCCTGCTCTACTGAAAATTGCTAAAATCGGTTTTCAGTTTTATGGTAGGTTTCTGTTGTTTCTCCAGGCCACTGCGGGCCTGGGTTGTTTGCTGTTGTACACGATTTGCAATGGCAGCCGTTTGCTGCTGGCAACGCACAGCCGCCTCCAGTTTTTGTCGCAATTCCGGCGATTGACTCATTAGCGATTTAAATTCCTGGGGATATTTGGGACCAATCTTCATTAGCCATTGCAAAGATTGTTCATGTAATTGACGTTGATATTTGGGTAAGTTGCGCAGTTTCGAAGGCTCGGCCAAGTAGTTGATTAGCACCGGCACCAACAGAGTTAACATTTGTATACCTTTAAGAGAAATTCAAAAGATTTGTAGGTCATATATTTTTTTAAATTAGAAATTTGTATTTTTTTTTCAACACGAAAATTCATTCACAAAAATATTGAAATTGATTTTAATGCACATGGATTATGAGATGATTTAGAAATATAAGTAAATTTACCTTGCATAAGATTTCCTATGTTTTATGGGTATATATTTTTTTTGTTCGAAAGAGTTTGAAATGTAAAAGGACGAATGTTTTTTTTTTTTGGTTAGGAAACAGAGATGATATTATATAGACAGAACATTTTTATGATTTTTTGTTGTTTTTTTTTGGTTTTGCATGATGCGCAAGAAGAAAATAAAGACAAACAAGAAAGAAAATACAAATGATGTTATATATTTTGAAATTATTTTGTTTTTGTTTTTAACGAATTAAGCCAGATTTGTAGCAGATTTTTTTTTGTTGGCGAGGAGGGAATGAAATGCGAGGACATAGCTTAGACTGAAGTCTTGATTATTTTAGTTAACAATCTAGTCCCCATATTCTTCTGGAACCACCATTATTTAGCTTGGTATACTTTCCATACCTTTCAGTGAAAATTCAGGCGTAATTTGGTCCCCGAATTTAGTTTTAAATAGGTTCACGATTATGAATAATAAATAGTCCTCCCACACACATCCCGTCATAATTAAGCTTTGGATAGTCCCTACACTCTCCATTAAAAATTCATTGTTGCCGAGGGTAATTCGGTCTCCGAATCTTGTTTTAAAGATATTCACGATTAGGAACAATAAATAGTACCTCACACACATCCCGTAATAATTAAGCTTGGGATAGCTCCTACACTCTCCACTGAAAATATGTTGTTGTCGGGGGATAATTTAGTCTCCGAATTTTGTTTTAAAGTGATTCACGATTGGGAATAATAAATAGTCCCCACGCGCACTCGTCTGTTCATACTCCTTAATGTTCGTTTTATAGACTTCATTCTTCTCCTTCTCCTTTTAGTCTATTTGACTCCCTTCTGTTAGTCTTTCTTGACAAATTTTCATTCGTCCATATAGACCCTCTTCTGTTAGTCAGTTATTGGTCTATTAGACTCCCTTCTATTTGTCTATAAATACAACTATCTGTTCGTCCATACAGACTCTCTGCTGTTCCACTATAAGCTCTCTTCTAGATCTTCTTCTGTTAGCCATTAGACTTCCTTCTGCTCGTCTTTATAGACAATTTTTAATTTGTCCATAGAGACCTTCTTCTCTTAGTCTATTATTGGTCTATTAGACTCCCTTCTGCTTCACTATTTGCTCTCTTCTAGATCTCCTTCTGTTAGTCCATTAGATCCCTGCTCGTCTTTATAGACAACTTTTTATTCTTCCATATAGACCCTCTTCTGCTAGTCTATTATTGGTCTATTAGACAGCATTCTGTTCAGAAAACTATCTGTTGGTTCATATAGACCGCCTTCTGTTCCACTATTAGCTCTCTTCTCGATCTTCTTCTGTCTGTCAATTAGACTTCCTTCTGCTCGTCTATATAGCCAACTTCTTATTCGTCCATATAGACCTTCTTCTGTTAGTCCATTATTGGTCTACTAGACTCCCTTCTGTTCCACTAATCGCTCGCTTCTAGATTTTCTTCTGTCAGTCCATTGGACCCTCCTCTGTTCGCCTATATAGACAAATTTTTATTCGTCCATATATACCCTCTTCTGTTAGTCTATTATTGGTCTATTGGACTCCCTTCTGTCTATAAAGACGTCCACATAGACTCTCTTCTGTGTGTCCCCACAGGCTTCCTTCTACCGTTCATTTAGGCTGCCTTCGCCTCTTCTATTAAGAATTCCTTCGCCTAGTCTATTTAGAATTCCTTCGCCTCGTCTATTTAGTTTCCCCTCTGCTGGTCTACTTAAACTCACTTCGGCTCACCTGTTTAGACTCCGTTCTGCTCGTCTATTTAGACTCCGTTCTGCTCATCTATTAGACTCCCTTGAGCTCGTCTATTTAGTGTCCCTTCACCTCTTCTATTTAGTCTCCCTTCTGCTCGTCTATTAAGACTTTCTTAAGCACCTCCATTTATATTCGCTTCTATCTTCTATTTAGACTGTGTTTTGCTTATCTAATTAGACTCCAATTTTTGTTGGTTTGCGGAAATGGATTGCTCGGTCTTTTAGACATCTTTGTGTTCGTAAGCTAAACCAATATTCTATAAATTTGTAAGGACTTGTTTCTGTTCTTTTTTACTTCCTTTCGCCTCACTTCAGTTTGCCTGCAAAGATTTTTCGCTAATCTCCTATAAAATCATCCTTTAAATACCGGCCTCTTTTCTCCTTACTATGGTCATCCATGGAATACCTTTTTCCTTCCCCCATTTAAAAATCCTGTTATAGTCTGTAACCACCGTTTGTTGGTCTATAAAATCTTAGATCGGCTATTAAAATTTCTTTCTGATCGCCTCTAAAGGGGTACTTAAGGTCTTCCATCTTTTTTCTTCTTTTCTTTGTGGGACCTATAAAATCTTTGTATAGCCTACATCAAACCTCTTCAATTAATTTATATTCTATATCGAGGTTATTTAAACTCAAAATCAAATTACTTTTTTTCTTAAAATATAGATTTTTCTCACAATTGTCGGCAACTTCATTCCCTCCTCCTTTTTTTCTTTAAAACTAGAATATTTTGAAAAAATTTCAACTTTCAGCGCAACAATGATATTTTTTTGTCATTCTAACTACTGAGAATTTTCACAACAAAACTCTACGTAGCAACTTCCAAACTTCATTATATGTACTTACGATTTTGTGGTTCGGCCAATTGTATGAGAGCTTCCACGGTGATTATACTTTCCAATATGATTTGTAGTTCCATTTCTGTGCGTGGCTGTTTGGCTGTCTCCACGTAAAGACCTTCAATGATGCGTGGCGCCAAAGCGTGTATATACGGTGTGGAAACTTTCAATTCCGATTCGGAAAATATCAAACGTGCCGATTGTATGCATTTTAATTTTACCGACATATTATCCGATTGTAAATACTGGCGGAAATGATTAATGCAGGGATATTGTAATGAGGGTGTCGACACCACTGTCGCTGGGGTGTGGAGTATAAAGACAGCAATTGCCCTTAGCATGGTCACCTCGTCCATTTTACGATCATCATTGTCGCCGCCAGCGGTTTTTGTCAAATCCACAATTGTGGCCAAAGAACTTTGTAACAATTCTTGCCATTCACTGGCCACGGTGGAATGACTCGACCATTTATCTTTGCATATGGCTTCCAAGGTTTGAAGGGCTGCTTGTATGGCCACAGTATTGGCTAAAATTGTTGAATCTATTACCGATTTATTGGCAATTTCTTTAATAATCGATGTGGTCATGTACAATATGGTGGGCAGTATGGCCAACGCTCCTTTGGGCGAACAAAGTTGTGTGAGTTCTCCCACACATTCCAATGCACTTGCCACCAAACGTCCATTATCTTCAGCCAATTTGTTGAAGAAGGATTGTGAACTTAAAGCGGTCTTGGCAATTAAATCTTGACGAAATTGTACGGTGTTTGCTGCTCCAGGATTCATGGTGGGTATTTGCCGTACAAATAAACACAAACACACTTCCAATACAGCATATATGTGCGAAGAGCCTGGTGTAATTTCTCCCGATGCACCACCTTCACCCATTTGATCGATTTGTTCTTGCAGCGAAATATTGTCGGTATTTTCATTGTTTTTATTCTGCTCCAAAAATTCATCTCTACGTTCATCCAACTGTTCTTTGGAAGCCCTCACCGACTGTTTAAGTATTTCAATACACAGCAGCTGGACAAACAAATCATCACTGGTTAGTATTTGCCTGTGTAGAACATTGCACAATTCAATGGTCAAAACTTTGTCCTTGACCAATTGCCGGCGAGCCCATTTGGAATCGAATATGGTATACATTGATTGCAAACAGCTAATGACATTCTTTGGTTTCTCCGATGTTCGAGCACTGCACAGCGCCTCCATGCAAATTCCAAAAATCATGTGAAAACGATCAGCCGATAGGGAGCCGTGGGATATGTTATTATTCGCCTCATATGAAGAGCTGTCAGAGTTGTCGGTTTCAGTGGAATTTTGGGTATTTGTTTCTAAATGCAATTGGAATCCTTCATCTTTGAGCCATAGGGAGGCAGCATACAATATCGGTGGCCAAGATGCCAAATAATGAGGTTTTGAAGAGTTAATCGTATCGGGGGTATAAAATGCTCCACCATCATGTGGTAATTGACTTTGGAATTCAGGTGGCAATAAGAGTAATGCATGATCTTTCATGGCTGCCAGCCAGTGGGTGGATAGGTTATCCAATTCCGGTTTAACCAGCGATAACAAACTTTCACAGTTCTTGTCGAAGCCATTGGCATCTTCATCATCAATGGTCAATGTGGGTATAACATTGGAAACGGTTAATTGCTTTTGTAGCATTGCAGCCGGGGATGAGCCATTGGCAATCATGGCAACAATGTAGACCTCAGCCCAGGCTTTTAGAATACTCAGTTTTTCCAAAGTTGTCATTGATTCATTAAACAACTGGGTACTGTTGGTTTTGGTGTGCAATTTGTTTAGAGAAGATACCAATAGCTGATGAACTCTTCTCAGATCATTGAGATCCCGGGCAACTCCAGAACCAATCCAAGCCGAGCAAACTTCACAGGCAGCTGCTGTAACATGAGATGGAGTATCGGGGGCAAATGCTGGTCGCAAAGCAGCTCCAACCTGGAAGTGAAATTAAAATGAATTAGAGAAAAATTTTATTTTGTTTGTCTTATTTTCATACCTGTGCTTGGAATTGTTCCAATAACAAATGTCCCGGGAATTCCGGCTCCGGTACATTGGCAAAACGATCAATAATTTCCTGCAACGTTCTCAAACCCTCCAGACGCAACTGATCCGAATCCGAAGTGGCTGCTATAAACGACATACGAATCAACTCCGACAGATGGAGTATCAAATAGTCACCACTCGATTTGGTCATTTGCATTTCCTTGGCTTGCAACAAATCAAAATGTATGGGTGAATCCGACTCACAGGCTGACATAATTTTACGCACAGATTGGGCGGCAAAAACACGTGTTGTCCAACGCGGCTGTACTGCCGGATGGGACGAGGAATTATCTGAAGCATGATATTCGGTGACATCATCAGCATCATCCTCATCGTCATCATCATCTGCATCTTTATTGGCGGCGGCATTATTCCCACCACTTGCTGTAGCCGTGCTAGCTGATTTCGCATTACCATCAGCCTTGGAAGACAATGCTATATCATCGGGTAGTGGGGAATTTTCCACAGCCACCGTTAGTACATTTTTACACAAACTAAGCCATGAGCTGAGATTTTCGGCAGCCATTAGCTGAAGCATCGATGTGAGTGTGTCGTGTATGTTCTTTAACATTTCAATATCTGTCTCTGAATCCAACATGGCAAAGATAATACCAGGAAGACCAAATTCGGTAATGACTAGTTTTGGACAATCATCCGGTTTAATGGATAATGCCAAATCACAAACTTCTTTGGCTTCACGATGGGCCAATTGTCTTAAGCAGGAGATGGCTGCTTTACGTTGTGTCAAATAATTGGAACAGAGATTGCGTACCAGGGTGGGTACCAGAGAGGGTAGGTGTATGCTTCCCGGCGCGAAGAGATGGACTTGTTGTATACAACCAGTTGCTTCAGCCTGGACCAAGGGATCGCTGTGATTGTGCATTACCGAGGCAGCGCAGAGGAATGATCGTCGCATTTTCACAATGGCGGGGGCATTACCCTGGAGAAAAGAAAAAAGGATTTATAAAATACTTTCTTTAAAGGGAGGCATACTTCATATTTACCTGTAACTCCGGACCCATGGTGGTTATCAGAGCATTCAATACCCTGCCAATGCATTGATGTACATCCACATAGGATTGCGGTACATTGAGTAGCAATTTCAGACACAATGTCAAGGTACCCTCCACATAGCTGCGGAACATGGGACCTCCAGAATCTGCTATCAAAGCCAAGGCATGCAAAGCCCATAGCTGTACCACCGGCGAAGATATATCCTGGGCCAAGGCCAATAATATCGAGACACTGGTATTCAAATGTTGTGATGAACCCATGCCACCAACATAACGATGCAAACAACCCAATGACAGCGAATGGCCGGTACGTGTCACCACATCCCGAGCTGATTTCAGTTTATCAAAGGAAATTTGCGCTAGCTCAGCTGTAAAACGAGACTCTCCCACCACTTGGGCCAAACGACCCAAGGCCTCAGCTGAAGCACAACGTAACATGGAATTCGAACTGATGAGGCCAGATGTCACCAGATTGGTAAAGCTTTTGCGTACATCCTCCTGGCCAATGCCGGATTTGCTGTCTGTCAATACCTTAAGGCCACACAACAAAGCTGTGTAAATATTCATTTGTACCGCCTCCTGGCGGCTACTCTTGGCCTGTTTAATGCATTCGGCAAAATGATCCAACATCTGTAGGCGATGTTTGTTTGCAACTTTGGGAAATATCAAACCAAACAAAGCGATGGACATATCAATTATGGCCACTCCCAAGGGTAGAGGTCCAGGGCATTGGTCAGCCTTATAGCCATAGGCTCCATTTGTGGTAGACGAGGTATGGCTGACTGTGGCCCGATACAAACAACATGGATCGTGTTCCAAGGCCCCAGAACCGGCAGCACTATTCGGCTGGAGCTAGAAACAATTGGAAAAAGTGAAACATTATAAATTTAATGATTTTATTTATAAACTTTGCAATAAGTTTCAATAAAATTAAACGCAGCCAGAAACAGAAGAAAACCAAATGAAAATGAAGAATAACAAAAATCGTTAGATTGTAGACAAAACTCAAAGAAAGACTCAACAAAAAGCGTGGAAAAGTAATCGAACCAGCAACAGTAGCAAAACAACTTACATGATCGCCATCCCATCTACGATTCGGTTCCATCTTTCATTTCATTCGGTTAGAATTGTAAAAATTATTATTTGTTATTAATATTTAAGAATTAATTAATTAATTCTAAAGAGGAGTTTTTTCCTGCAAAAATAAATTCGATTTATTTCAAATACCTGATCTTCAATAATGCGATGATCCGTTTCCTGTAACCATGTACCCAAAATCACAGAGTCTTCGGCGTGACACAGATTTCTTAGTTGGGAATTTGTGGTATTTGCCGGATTCTCGGCCAAAGTGAATTCCGAGATCAACATGCGCAACAAATGGGTATACGAAGACTCCATTGCATTGGCCGGCAATTGAGATAGGGTTTCATACAAACGCAAACGCACCATTGCAGCTGGGGCCTTTAGCTGGGTGCCATAGCTTTTTAATACTGAAGATAAACTGAAAAAGAAATTAAGGTTTTAATTTGATACTATTTCCAGAATTCAATACCTCAAATACTCACTTCACCAACATGGCCAGAGCACTTTCAATGGGTGTCATCAGACGTTTGGTTATGTCCTCGGTAATCAAATCCGGACAGTTGACCAAAAAGCTATGCATTACCGACAAAGCACCGGCCCGTCCTTCCAATGTTACTTGCCATGTAAATGAGTCACCGCGAGCCTTCTCCGATTCCAGTTCTTTGTTGGAACGGGGGAAGGAATGACGCCACAACAGCAGCAAGCGAGGTAATAAACCTTTTACCACGGGAGAACCCAATGTCATAATTGCTCCAATCAACAACCACCCAGCTTGGGTTCGATTCAACGACAAACGGCTGTTTTGTGAGGCCGAACGTAACAACTCCTCTGCAGCATTAAATACCACTTTGCCCTTGGTGTGTGGTATACCCAACGGAGAATAACGTACACTACCCAAAATGGCTGCCAAGGCACTGCTATATCCAGCAATGGCCTCGGGTGATGAACGCATTTGTTCCAATGCATCCACAAAACGATCTATCAGCGGGGTTATCATACTCGGCACAGCCACACAGAAACAACGTAAACACCAGGCCGATGCCAATCTCGCTGCAGCACTGGGATGTACCAACACGGCACAGGTGGTATCTATGGCATTCAGCGTCTGATCTGCCAATAGATTTTGAGCCGTGGTACCCAAACCCAAAACCAAAGAACCCAATTCCTGTAGAGCACATACCAAAAAGTGTTGACTGAACAGGGTCTCCTGATTGGAATCTTTCGCGTTCTCGGGGTTAAAATCAATGGAATTCATTTGTTTGGCAATCATGTAGACCAGCTCCTTGCAGGCTGAGGTTTGGGCTTTTTCGCCCAACATTTTGCCAAGCACCGAACGTAAAATGAAATTAATACATTTCCTGGAATACACTGCATCCACATGCGAAGAGGCTGCCTTTGGATTGGCCACCAGATCGAGTATGTGTGAAAGGAATACGGTGAGGTTACGCTCCAGCCACACACTGCCCATGTATTCCACAAACACCACATAGGCATGGGTTACACCCACACGAATTTCACGATTTACACTGGAACTACCTTTGATGATTTCCCCGGTACCCTTAAGGAACGATCCGCCACCTCTAAGGAATCCCGACATCAAGATATTCAAAGTTTCATCAAGAGAAACGGTGCGTGCGGCAGCCTTTGATTGTGAACTTGTTTGTACCGAAAGCTTTTTGCTATTTGCCTCATTCTGTTGTTGTTGGGTAAAGGCCAACAGCGTACCCAATAGCTTGGCCACGGCACAACGTACTTCATAATTACTGCCATCAAATGAACGGAAACACAAAGCTGGTAGACTTTCCAACTCGGTTTGATAAAGGAATGGAGCATGTTGTATCATTTCCAGAATACATCTGGAAGCTGCTACACGAACTGCCATAACACGATCCGTTAGACAATGTTTGGTGGCCTTGTAGATGTCTTTGTGGACATTGGCAATTGCCGTGCCCATGCCGGCACAAACCTTTTCCAGGGTGATCATAATTTCAATACGGGCCTGGGACTCGGCATTGCGCAGGGTGCGTAAGAGCAGGTTGACCGTTTCTTCATAGGAGCGGCCCATCATGCGTCCCAACTTCTCGTACATGGAGCCCAAAACACAGATTGCAGCTCTGTGAAGAAAAAAAGGGTGAGGATCAGAACATAGGTTATAGGTTCTACTTACAATTTGGTGGGCAAATAACTTGGTGAATCATCCTTGTTCTTGAGTATATCATTGCAGGCATTGGCCGTATCGAACAAAAGGAATGTATCTCCCACGGAAAACAGTGTAGCCAAACAACTGGCCAGTAGCTTGCGTGTTGGCGGCCCCGGTGAGCCATTGATTTGTGCCGTCAATTGTTGCACCAATTTCTTTTGATTTGTCTTAATCTCATTGCGATCTATGGTCAAGAGGGTCTTTTCCAAATAGCTTAGCCATTCGAATATGAAAACCGAACGCTTTGGCTCGGGCAATTGTTTGAGAGCATCTTCATTTAGGCATAAGCTGTGTGCGAGTTCCATACTGTCATTGATGTGCCTAGCAGAGGCAACGTCAGAAGAACGACCCCGCGAGTTTTGTTGGCGATCGACCGTGTCGAAGCGTGTGAGTGATCTATAAAAGGGCGAAAGGGAGAACAATTTACATTAAATTATTTTTTCAATTCATAAACATAAAGAACAAAGTTCTTGATTACTAATCCCCCATGGGCATGTGTGTGCGTGCGTCTGTGAGGAGGAACAAATTTTGTTGATGTTTTCATGATCGAATGGCTATGGCGAAAAGAATGGTCATCTCGAAATATGACGTGATGCGAAATATAATATAAATATTATGATTAAGTGTGGCCAATTAAAAAGTGTGACATCGCACATTAGGGTGTGGGGAATTTGAACGGATCCGAAATTTGTAGGTGGACTTTTCGCAGACGAAGTAGCGGGCACTTGCTGGTCTTAAATTTTCTGAGAGTATTTGGAAAACATTTTTTGCTATAATCGTGAACTTTTTACTGTACTTTTTTAGTCAAGAACCTTCTTTAATTTAATCGTGGATTTTTCGATAAAATAAGAACTCTCTCAATTTTTCAGTGGTGGATGTTTAAACAATATTTTGTTTTAAAACCCTCCGAGGTATAATTCAATACCTCAAGATTTAATTAAGAGTATTACAAGAAGGTCTCGACTGTAATTATGGACTTTTTACAGTACTTTTTTGCCAAGAAACTTCCTTCCTTTGCCTAATCGTGAATTTCCAAAGATTATTTTTTTATGAACTCTCTGAATTTTTCAGTTGTGGATTTTTAAAGAATATTTTTTTTTTTTGCTAAAACCCTCCGAGCCATAATCATGAGGTTTTAAAGAACATTTTTTTTCCAAATTCAATGACCTTAAGACCTCATTGGGTAGTTAGCTGTATATTATGCTTCAGTTACCTCATGGCATTTTGCGTTGCGAACATTGGACTTTGGACTCTGGGTTTAGCATCGAGGTGGTACTTGATAGTTTTTAAAGTAGACAACTTTCCAAAAATTGACACCACAAAGTTAAATCCTTGACTACTTCCCCACAGTGGGCCCAAAAGAATTTCTCCCTGGACTGAGCAAATTAATTTTTAGTCTGATCACTCTGAGATTCTCCGATGGGTTTGCTTTGTCAAAATAAGTGGTATAAAAGGTATTTTGGATGCTCATTCCAAATATGGACACGACAAAAGTTTCACACCTGAATAATTCTCCACAGTGGGCTCAAACCAAATTCTCCTAAGAGTGACCATAAAAATATAAGTCTGGCCACTGTAACATTTCCCAATGGTCTGCTTTGTCAAAATAAGTGGTCTAGAGGTATTTTCGATGCTCTTTCCAAATATGGACACAACCTTGACTATTTCTCCACAATGGGCCCAAACCAATTTCTCCTAAGAGGGACCATATGAAATTTATGTCTGGCCAATGTGAGATTCTTAATGGGTTCGCTTGGTCAAAATACATTCTCAGGATGTATTTTCAATGCACTTCCCAAAAATGGACACCATACAGTTGTATCTTTGGTCATTTTCCCAAAGTGGGATCAGACCAATTTCTCCTTAGAGTGACCATATGCAATGTAAGTCTAACCAATGGGAGATTTCCAGATGGATTTGCTACGCACAATAAGCATTTTCGAAGCTCTCTCCAAAAAAAGGAAACCACAAAATTGCATCCTTGATCATTTCACTACAGTGGTTTCAAACTAAGACAGCCATAGGAAGTACTTGATCAGGACGGTCTCTAAACTCGTTACTCCGTGAGTATCTTGTATGCCCAATCAATTGTGAAATCCCATTTTTGGATGACAGATTCCCCGATTAACCTTTTTATACCCTCCACCATAGTATAGAGAGAATATTGAGTTTGTTATGCCGTTTGTAGGGTGTCTGTCTGCCCGTCCGTTCATCCACCCGTCTGAGGAAATCACTCTAGATTCCGAACGAATTGAAGTAGGTTGATAAAATTTTACTCAGATGTATGTATGCTCTGCAGGACTTTTGATATTGAAAATGACCCATATAGGTCCACGTTTTGGTACGGTACCTCCCTATATTCGGTATTTTCATGATTTTAGCGACATTATTCACTGGAATTGTTTCAAATATGGTATTTAAAGTTCGGAATGGATACTACAGCCTAAGACAGAAAATTGTTTGTGCAGGTCCACGTCTTCGTATAGCGCCCATATAACGGTAACTCCCGATATTCGGTATTTTGATAATTTTTGATATAGTATTCACCAGAATTGTTCCAAATTTCGTATTTGTAGTTCGTAACGGGTACTACAGCCTGTGTCGGAAAATTGCCTATGCTGGTCCAGGTGTTCGTGTAGCCCTCATATTCGATATTTTGATGATTTTAGCGACAGTATTCACCGGAATTATTCCAAATTTGGTATTTGAAATTCGTAATGGGCACTACAGTCTATACCCGAAAATTGCCTATGCAGGTCCAGGCGTTTGTATAGCCCCCATAAAACGTTACCTCCTTATATTCGGTATTTTGATGATGATTTTAGTGACATTATTCACCGGACTTGTTCCAAACTTCGTATTTGTAGTTCGTAACGGGTACTGTGGCCTTTGCCGGAAAATTGTCTATGCTGGTCCAGTTGTTTGTATATCCCCCATATAACGATACCTCCCGATATTCGGTATTTTGATGATTTTAGCGACATTATTCACCGGAATTGTTAAACGTTTCGCATTTGAATATTATAATGGCCTATGACAGAACTTGCCTATGCAGGTCCACGTCTTTGCATAGACCCCTATATTCGGTATTTTTATGATTTTTAAAAGTATTTTTCAACATATTTTTTTAATTTCCAAATTCTTTCCAAATGATGGAGGGTACTCAGAGTTCGACCCGGCCGAACTTACTTCGTTTTTACTTGTTTTAAAGTTCCAAAGGCTTGATTTGAGTCATTTGTTGTTTTTTGTATATTTTTTTGAAATGCTTTTGTTCAATTGCCTATAGATGTGAGTATCGAACAGCGATGAACATGACGCATGCATTCAATTATTCAGAGCACAAAATTTGTGCCAAACGTTAATGTATTCTCCAATATAACGTAAGTTTGGCACTTAAAATTCCACCAAAAAAGGAGAAGACGTTTTACGTTTCATTTCCAACGTTATACAAGTGTATGTATATTGCAAGGGACGATCAACAGGTTTTTTGTGGAACAACACCCAACAAATAAACCCATATTTCTTCTTTGTTTTCAAGTTGATGGTTGGTTCTTTTTTCCCTTTGAAGTGGAATCTTTTTTCTTTCGAAAATAAAAGAAAACTCAGAAAATGTTGTGAAAGTGCAATCTTATTTGGAATTCCATACTCCTTTACGATTGTCATGTATATATTTATGGATGAACACACATGTCCACTGTTGTTGTTGTTGTTTGATACCTACCTTCTAGCCTCATTGAAGACTTTATGCAAAAAGTGAGGTGTGCGAACAACATTTGTTTCTACCAAATTTGCCATTGCACATATTTGGTTAACCAGAATTTGCTAATATGACTTGACTGGGTAGCTGGCGGCGGCGGCGTTTGGGAATTTTGGTTAGGACCACTAGTAGTAGTTCAAGGTTGCTACACTCAAGCCGTTTTCCATGGAATGTAAACCGAACGTTTTCATTCAAAATCACTCACTATTGTTATATTTTTCCGCACTTATTCTTTTTTTGTTTCGAAATATTATTTTCTTTGTTTGGCCTTTTTTCCGCTGCCACAAAAAAACATGGAAATCAATATAGGCTATTTTCAAGTTCAAAGACATGAATGTATTTCTTTCCGACGTCTTCTTCCACTTAAGACCCTTGTATGCGACACCATGAAATTTCAACTTTTTTCTATTGCTAAAACTTTGAAATAATTAAATGCTGACTTAATTTTTGTTCTTCAAAAAAATTATTTTATTAGCCACTCAAACATTTTTGTTTACTAGTCACCGCTGCCGTTTCAATGTTCACTCGGGGTAAGGCGTATCGTCACTGTTCTAGCTTTTTGCTTAAGAAATTGTACAGAGAACGCTTATGGGCTAGCGCAAATAATACAGCAGACAAACAAAGTCATCACATGTGTGATGGTGCCGGTGGTGCCCACTCACTCACTGGCAACAGTAAACACATTTCATTCATTTATTCTCGTTAAAAATTGTCCGCTATTGGGATGATAGCAGCAACAACAGGGGTTGTTGCAAGGGGTAAAATACACACACACACAAGGGGGAGAGAGGGCAATAGTCAGGGTGTGTTTTCCAACATTTTTAATGTCATTGCAAAAAAAAATGGAAACACCACAAGCTAACATTTACTTTTAAATAAATATTGAAATGCAATTTATGTTTACTTTTTGAAAATGGTACAGATGATTCCATTTCGAAGTAGTTGACGGGAGAAGATCTGCTTGAAAGATGTACAGATGATTTCATTTCGAAGTAATTGACGAGACAAGATCTGAAGATATAAAGGCGAGCCCCTAGATCAACAAGTCAATTAGAGAGGCATCAATAGCATTTGGCTTAGGTAGAAGAATTTTGCAGTGTCAATTATGTCCTCAGATACCATTCCCGATTTAGAGCAGCGAGAGAGACCCGGTTGGACTGGCAAATGCGACAGGCCCTAGCCCAACAAATTTCTGGATATGTACAACCATCTGAATTAACATTCGACCTGAATTGAAGACATAACAATCGCAATCCTAGCATGTGAATTGTGATCCTAATAAGTAACAATTTCATCATGTGAATAGGACCATGTGATGGGCGGCTGCATTTCATCTACTTTCCAATTAAATCAACGCCTGTCCCGGGGTTCATTAGTCGAAGTTTCAACGTTTTCGAATTAAAATCTGGTTAATAGTGTATCTTACACATTTTACTTTTTAGAATAAAAATCCATTATGGGCCATGACTGTCGGAAATACAACCAAAAACAATTCGTCGAAGTTTTGACAGATAAAAGAATTGAAAATTGTAACCCTTTGAGTGTGAGGTACCAGTTCGCAGATATATATCATCTTCACAACAGATCTTGCGTTAGCAAAAATATTAGGATGTGTGAAATTTGAAAAGAGTTGGATTCTAATTCCGATCCCTTTGAGCGTTTTGTTTTTCAAAAAAATTGAACCCTATGTGGGAGAGGTACCAGAAGAAAATGTCCGATCACTTCCATCTTTATATAAGATCTTGTGGTAATTGAAATATTGAGAGGTGCCAAGTCTGAATATAATCCGATGTTAGTTTAGCGATATTCAAAATTTTGAACCTTTATGGGGGATGACCGCGGACCGACATATTTTACCTTAACTCAAAATATTGAGTTTATTAAAATATTGGGATGTGTGAAATTTAAAGACAATCGGATTTCTATATCACATTTTATAATAGTTATAATTATTCAAAATTTTGAACCTTTGTCGGGGAAACACTTGATGGAGTGGACCGATGTTATCCATTTTTGCACCTGACCGAGAACTAAGGCAAATATTAGGATTTGCAAAGTTGGAGCAAAAAATTTATTTTTGAAAATTTCCACCTTTTGTAGGGGAGTTACCAGAAGGAGTAGACTGATATATATCATTCTATCACCAGACCTTAGGTTAATAAAAATATAGGGATGTATGAAAGACAATCGGAATCTTACATCACATTTTATAAGAGTTGTAATTATTCAACATTTTGACCCTTTGCAGGGGAGGTACTTGATGGAGTGCACCAATAATGTCCATTTTCGCACCTGACCTAGAACTGACGCAAATATCAGAATTTCCAAAGTTGGAACACAATAGGATTATAGCGTCTTTTTCTGTGCAGTAAATTATTTTCTTTGAAAATATTGACATTTTGTGTGAGAGGTACCAGAAGGATTGGACCGATATTGCCTATCTCCGAACTCGATATAATTTTGTCAATAATATTACGATGTACCAAGTTTGATTCAAATCGAATACTCCATTTGAGAGTTATTGTGCATCTAGATCGACTCCAAATGTCCTGAAACGGATTTGGCCCAAAGAGACCTATATCGTATTATCGTTTCTCTTTCTGTGCAGTAAATTATTTTCTATGAAAATGTTGGCACTTTGTGGGGGAGGTACTAGAAGGAATGGACCGATATTGCCCATCTCCGAAGTCGATCTCAGTTTGACAAAAATATTACGATGTACCAAGTTTGGACCAAATCGGATACTCCTTTCGAGAGTTATGGTGCATCTAGATCGCTAGATCGACTCCAAATGTCCTGAAACGGATTTGGTCCAAAGAGACCTATATAACCATTATTTCGATGAGACACGTTTTGGCCTTATCAAATGATATGTACCCTATCTAGCCATATGGCTGAGGGCATACAAATGACAAGATCGAGCCAGAAAAGGGTTCTCGTATTATATTTAGCAAATTAGTTTATCTTTATTGTTGTAGCATGCATCCAACCTTGATTATCCTATCCATTCACATAATACCAAATGGTATCATTTTAGAAGTTTAGAACCATTTTGGAACTTTTCCTAACCTTAAGAGTTCGAATTTCCAACAATTAGTGCTTTCCGAAACCTTTTAATAGGAATTTCTAAAAACCCAGCCTTATAACACTCCTACGCACCATTGACCCTCGTACAAAATGTCAAGATTCTGGCTTCAGCCGTTTCATCTGGACGTTGATTCTTAGCCAGCCAGTTATTTCACTACTCTTTTAAATATTTAGATGTCAATATAAAGCTCGGTATAAAGATACTTCTAAAAAAATTGAAATCAAAAATCACACATTAAGGCTTACGAAGTTAACATGGAACGTCATAAGCTTTATATGAGATTTATGATTTTGCAAAATATTAGGAGTTTGGATATAATTTTATGGAAACTATGGACGAGGAAATGGACACTACTACCACTCTTTTTACATGCCAAAAATTAAGAAAGAAAGTACAAACGGGTGTGTTGGCAACCCTGTTGTGATTAGTTCAAAAAATTGTGGTGCTCCGTGCTTTTGAAAAAAAATTAATAGTTATTGTGTTATTAAATTAATTAATCTAGTAAAAAAGTGTTTAAAAGTGTTCAATAGTGATTTGTAACTCAAAGTGATAATTGGTGTAGTGTTTTAAAATCTTGTTTTGTGTTTTAAAGTTATATCAATTTTAAAATTGTGTAGTTTTACATTTTCCTTTTATCCTCTTTCTTTTGTTACATTAGCTAATTAGTTGTTGTAACATTATCGTCTTGTTTTGTTTGTCATCTTAAAAGAGTTGCCAACATTTAAAAAAAAAAAAAAATAAATAAAAAAGAATAAATATAAATAACAAAAATTCCAGCTACAGATCTAATCTTAAATAAAATATTTGGAACTTGTGTATTAAAAAAGAAATAGTTATAATTAAAATAAAGAAAATGTCGTGCCCTTTTGAATTGTGTAATATTGTTGCTGAGGATGAATTGTGTGTTACCTGTTGGTTTTGTCTTAATCAATGGCATGCAAAATGTGCTAGGATTAATGCAAAAGTAGTAGACACAATTAGAAATAATGTTGGTGTTCGTTGGTGTTGTGTGCAATGCAGGAAACTCTCTGCAGACTTTTATAATTTTGTAAAGGATTTGCAGTCGGAATTGACATCGATGAAAAAAGATTTTTCCTCATTATCACTCCGATTTGAGAATTTCTCTACATTGTTTGAGAAATACCAAGAGTTAGATGAGTTTGTGTCGTCACCGTCAGTTTCTGGACAGAAACGCAAAAGGGCTGCGAAAAAGGCACCAACTAAGGGAATGCCTAGTCGCAAAGCAATAGTTTCTGTTGAGAACACTGTTCCACAACCGGTCTCAGTTAATATCACTGATACAACTGAGAATGGACGTGAACAGTCGTATGCCAGTGTTATTACACACCCAGTTCCGGTAGATAACAGCGGTATAGGTAAAGGGGTAATTAATCCTGATGTTATGAATATTGATAGTGAGGTTTCTAAGAAAACCTCACAATCTACTCGTGACATACAGGAATTATCATTTCCTTCACTTATCACTAGTGATCGTCCCGAGACTGCTACTGGCAAAACTCAACCTGTCCAAAGATCATTATCCATGGCCCCCGCCATGAAAATGATATTTGCAACAAGGTTTGCACCAGAAACAACGGCCGATGACATAAACTATTATATAAAATCAAAAATTGAGGGAGATTACTTTTTGAAATGTTTTAAGCTCCGATCTGCATTTTCTGAAAGTAGATCTTCTTTCAAAATCGTTGTGCCTGACAATATTTTTGTACAGTTGATTTTAAAAGAATTTTGGCCTGCTAGGGCATTTATTAAAGAATTTGTGGAGAGATCCGATAATTTAGCTCATTTGCCTCTTAGACCAGACTCGGTGCCAAAAAACTAAATGACTCATTTTCTATCTGCTATCAGAATGTAAGGGGGCTTAATTCAAAATTAACCAGTTTATATACTGATAGCATTGGTTTCAATTATAATGTATTGGTTTTCTCCGAAACTTGGTTAAAAACATCTATATTAAATAGTGAAATATTATGTTCAAAATATCAAATATTTAGAAAAGATCGTGTTTGTAAAAAAGGTGGTGGCGTGCTTATTGCAGTTGATACCAAATATACCACTAATTTAATTGATCTAAATGATTTTCTTGATATAGAATTTGTTTGTGTTTCCATTGAATTGGGCAAATCTAAATTGTTTGTAACTTGCTCTTATATTCCCCCCTCATCTTCACTTGACATTTATAATCAGCATTTATCAGAAATAAATTTAATTACTGAAAAAATGAAAGATTCCGATCGCATTCTGATCCTTGGGGATTTTAATATGCCCTCCATTAAATGGCTTCCAATGCCAGATTCTGAAGCTTTGATTCCTTTGCCATCTGAAATGAACAGTACCCAGTATACATTTGATGTTGTAAATAGTTTGTGTGACTTAAATCTTTATCAAATAAACAGTGTAAAAAATTCGCATGGCAAAATTCTTGATTTGGCGTTTGTAAATATAACACAGCATTTTGATATATTCAGAATTCCTCCAATATGCACTCCTGAAGATATATACCATCCAACTTTATATATCTCCATGACTCACAGTTATGTAATTGAAGAAAGTCAGTCCGACTCATTTAAAACTGTCCTTAATTACAAAAAAACTAATTTTCGAAAACTTAATACTCTCATTTCCTCCATAAATTGGGCTTCTGTGTGCCTGTGTAACAGCCATACAGATTTAGAATATGTAATTGATCAATTTTATGATATTTTAAATAGATTTAAACTGGAATGTGTTCCAACCACTAGAGTTAAAAATTCAAATAAATATCCATGGATAACCCCTGAGTTATCAAGTTTAAAAAATTCTAAAAATAAGCTTTTTCGTAAATATAAAAAATCAGGCTTAACAATAGACTATACTAATTACTCTGTTGCTAGATCTAAATATACTTTAGAGTCTCGACGATTGTATAATCTTTACCTAGACAAGATTAAAAATAATGTTAAATCCAATCCTAAATCTTTTTATGATTTTGTTAATCTAAAACGAAAAGTTTCCTCAAAGCCCTCAGTATTGAAATATAACAATAAAGAATTTGTCACAGGCACAGATATTGCTGAATGTTTCGCAGATTTTTTTGCCACAACCTATTCCAGTACATCTTGCCAAATTAAAGATTCGTATCCTTATAAGTTATCACAGGCTGATCAAATTTGTATGCCTTTTCTACAACGTCATGATGTGTCCAATAGTCTGCGTAGTTTAAAATCGATTAAATGTCCAGGACCGGATGGCATACCTAATATAATTCTTAAATATTGTTCAGAAACATTAGCACTTCCGTTAACTATATTGTTTAATTATTCACTTAAATATGGTCACTTTCCTACTTTTTGGAAAAAATCTTATATTATACCTTTACATAAGTCTGGTAGTCTTACTAATGTGTCAAATTATAGAGGAATTGCAAAATTAAGTGCCATACCAAAATTGTTTGAAAAATTAATTACTGCAGTAATTTCACAGAAAATTCAATCTATATTGAGTCCATATCAGCATGGTTTTCGTAGTGGTCTTTCAACTACAACAAATCTTATAGAATTTACGTCAACAGTAATAAAAGGATTTGTTCAGCGTAAACAAACTGATACAATTTATACCGATTTTAGTAAAGCTTTTGATAGGGTTAACCATGAACTCCTAATATATAAATTAAATTATATGGGTTTCAACACAAACTTAGTCAAATGGATATCATCTTACTTACAAAATAGATCACAACTAGTTTTGTTTGAAGGGTATCTATCCAAAACGATTAACGTTCCATCGGGTGTTCCGCAAGGAAGTCACCTTGGACCGGTCCTCTTTCTTTTATTTATCAACGATTTACCTAATTCCATAAATTACTCGAAATTGTTAATGTACGCAGATGATGTTAAATTATTCATTTCCCATAATTGTGATAAACGAGCGAGTTTACTTCAAAACGATTTAGATAGCCTTTTTAAATGGTGCACGTTAAATTGTATGGAGTTAAATTTAAGCAAATGTAAGCATATGTGCTTCTCCAGATCTTCTTCTCTGATATTAAAATATAATATTGACGGTCATTCATTATCAACTGTAGATTCATTTGTTGATCTTGGCCTCTTGATGGATCCAAAATTAAATTTTAATAGCCATGTAATAACAATGGTAAATAAAGCAAATGGTGTTTTAGGTTTTGTTAAACGGTGGGCCAAAGATTTTTCTGATCCATATATAACAAAACAGTTATTTACGTCTCTTGTTAGACCTATATTGGAATACGGTTCTGTTGTATGGGCTCCTCAATATGCAATATACTCAGATAAAATAGAATCTGCTATTTGCCTTACGAGGTTTACATTGGAATAGTGATTTTGTTTTGCCTTCTTATGCTAGCAGGCTAAAATTAATTAGATTGCCTACACTTAAAAGCAGACGTATTATGTTGAACTCCATGTTTGTACTAAAAATATTAAATGGTAATATACCCTCAGATTTTCTGATTTCATCTATTAGAATTAATGTTCCGTCTAGATCTAGTAGATACTACCAATTATTATATACTGATTTTCACCGCACGAATTATTCAATGGGCGAACCTCTTAGTAAAATGTGTGTTGACTTTAATTCTGTGTACTGTAATGTAGATTTTGGTATGAGTTTAGAAGTTATTAAATCTAGAATAATTTTATTTTTAAACAATTAACATACATGTTTTATTATTTGACAAACTAGCTGATGAATTAAATTCTGTAGCTGGTTTTAAATTTCCTACTGAATTCCCATTATGATGCGGATCATGATGTGTACGCGATCCCTCCGTAAAGGGAAGTCGCCCCCTCGGTCGGCAGGGGTGGGAATGTGAGGCGTGGGAACGTTCGAAAAAAAAAAAAAAAAAAAAAAAAAAAAAAAAAAATCAGGCTTGCTTCCTTCTGGAATTCATGTTGCATATGCTTAAAGAACAAAAAAGTTTCAATTTCATTTCGGCACTGAAAATAAATCTGGTTTGTTCTCCTCCAAACATTCATGTTTCTTTTGGAGTCTATAATTGTGCAGAAGAGAAATTTTGGCAACCAATATGATGCACAGCCTTAAAAATGTTGCAATTTAAAATATAATTCCTTTCTTTACAATTCCTGAAAATCTCTAGAAATTGGCATATTGAAATAAACAAAATAATAATTTTCAATAAACAAAATGTAGCATCCACTAGGTTTGTTTACGTTTTCTGTAGATCAAATCTTTTGCCATTTTTCTCTTTTAACTGATAAATATTCATATGATTTTTTTTCGTGCTTGCCAAAGAGGTAGCAAATATGTAAAAGCAGCAATGTTTTCTCATAATCTCCAAAAATTCTCCTCACACGGCACACTACTTTCTTTTATCTTTTCATCCTCTTCTTTTCATCTTTTCATTTTACTTTCTTGGCGCTTGGTTTTTTTTATAAAAATCTCTTGGATTCTTCTGTTTTTTATTTACAACAATACAAAATCGACTTCCATTAAAAAAAATTAAAATAATATTTAAAAAAACTTCTTAAATTGTAGAAAATTCACGGTAAAAATGGCATGGCTGGTATAAATTGTAGAGCTTTGACAGTGGGGCTATCCGGATTGCCCAGATCGTTGACCAAACCCTGAATGCGAGAGACCACATCACTGCGTTGTATGTCACGACGATCGAGCATGCGTTGAAATAGTGTGTGCAATTGACGGGCCGAGGACATTTTGGAGAGTTCATTCAGATCCTGCAGCAGATTGTCGGAATACCCCTCATATTTGCTGAGATTGGAAGATTTGGCATCACGTTTCAGCAAATCGTAGACCAATAAAAATTCCACATAGGGTTTGGTGGGTGGTACACGTTTCTTGCCAGCCGTGGAGGTGGTGGACCAACGATCCATGGCTGTATCGGCATCAATGGTGGCACGTCCATAGTTATCATCGTATAGGCGTAGAAAATTATCCAGTGACTCCACATCATTGTTAAAATCATCATGATTTGGTTCGGTTATTATGTCGCGTATCAGAGATAGCGGAAGATTTGCCAGACCATCGGGTTTTTCGGCCATTTCATAGAATATTTCATAACCCTCGGGTTCATGTTTAAGTTTTATGGGCGTTTCGGGGGCATAAAGGGCAGGTTTGTGTGGTGGGGTGGGAGGATTTGTTGGTTTCTCTGTGGTCGTAAGGGCTCCAATACCACCGCCCCACCAAGCTGGAGGAATCCACCAACCTGTCGTTGTTGGTTGCGGTTTGCTGGTGGTAATTGGTCTTGGTGTTGTTGTTGTCGTTGAAGATCTGTTCAGCTTGTCATTTGCCATAAATGGTGGCTCCACCGTTGTCGACGATATCGGTTCGTATTGCAAGTGATCAATGTAGTAGGCTAAAGCTTGCATAGATGCTGGCAAGTAGCTATCCAACAAATTGGCGCCATAAACAAAAATCTGTCGATTCTGGCTTGTCACAAAATATATCAATATTATTTTCCACAACATTTTGTAAGCTATTTGTGGTTATTATAAATAAATTCAATCCGTCAAAACAACGATGTTCTACGGCCCGTTTTGATGGCGTATCAACATGACATACTAAGCGGCTTGTGTGTGTATGTATGTGTGGGTAAGTTTTTTGGTGAAAAACGACGCACGCTTTTGGCCCGAAAATTTCGACAGACAACACAACACTTCTTCCCTTCAGAACTTGAACTTGACTAAAACGCAGATTTGGCTTAAAGCGTCGTCAACTCTACATCCAAAAACTATGACAAAGCCACTAACTTACTGCTCCTCCTCCTCTCCGCTGTGTGTGGTAGTGCTCTTTGTGGTGGTATTTCGTGTTTTTGTTTTCCATAATCGAATCCAACCAAAAAAAAAAACCAAACAACAACAAAAGACAAGCAACCTCTTTCTTTCTTGGAATAAATCACACAGGGCAAGAAAACGAAGAAAAGAATAAAGGAAATTCACAAAAGAAAGGTAAAACTGCATTCGATACGAACTTTTAAGCCTCATCTTTACGGATGACAAATGAGCCCCACATAAAAAAGGGGTTCCATTGTGAGCATGAAAAGAAATCCATTCAAACAATTTCATCCGCCCGCCCTCCACAAAAAAAAAACATGACTCGTTAACTTTTGCTTTTCTTGAAACTTGAACGTACACAAATTTTTGGTGGCAATGTCGATGTCTAGTTTTGTTAAGTGTCGGCAGCCGGCATTTGTTCTAACGTCGTCGTCCAGGTCTCTAATGATTATGCAGAATAGAAGTGATTTAAATTGTTGTCATGCTCCCCAGTCCGGAAGACGTAAGAAAGGTGAATACACTTTTATCGCTTGTTTTATTTACATTTCCCCTCAACTGTTTCCAAAAAAACGGTAAGTCCCAAAATATAGTTTGCTTGTTGTTGTTGTTACTGCTTTGTGTTAGTGTTTTGACTGTGTTGGTAGCTTCTTGACCACAAGCTCTTCAAAATATTAGGTGTTGGCTTTTGTTGTTGCCTTTTATTCTTAGAATCATCTACACTAAGATGGAGAGTAAATGGATATTGTCATCTCTTTACACCCGGTCGAAATAATTATTTTAGATCAGCCCCAGTAAAAGATATATATTATGTGGCAGGGCATTATTTCAAATATATTAATCCTTTATGAGTCACCATAGCCTTTTAACAAGTTACAAGTTTGAAACATTTCTAATAAAATCAAAATTATTTCGTATGTCCAAAAAGCCGGTTTCGTATGTCTGTCGCTTTTGTCGACAGATATATAGCCTCAGTCAATGTTCGATGATTTAAATATATGTTGCCTTCTGTTATGAATACTCAAATTAATGATCCTCTATGGAGTAGGTTCCAAAGAAATGGGCCAATATTGACCATTTCGTAACGGATCTAAATAAATATGATATAAATATTGTGACGTGCCAGGGTGAGATGAGAAAGCTTGATGAAAAAACTTCAACCAACTTCAGAGCTTCCTCGTTACATTTCCAGCGCACAATGGCCACCAAAATCACCGGATACCAATCCTTTGGACTATTATGTCTGGAGTATTTTGGAAAGTAAGGTTGGCACTAAAAAATACCAAAGTGTCGATCACCTCAAGCAAGCGCTTCACCGGGAGTGGGACAAAATACCGCAGAGCAACATTCTGGCAGCGTTAGACGGTTTCATTGACCGTTTGAAGGCTATAATTCATGCCAAAGTGACCAATTCGAACAAATCTAAACATATTCTATAATTTGATGCTATATCCGACATTTTTTGCTTTCATTCAATAAAATTAAAAAAAAAAAATAAAAATTATGGCGTTTGACTTTGTTGAAGTTTTTTTATCTCATCCAGTATTTTGGATTACCTTCACTTTATATGAGGTACAAGAAATTTTTTGAAAATGTTAAAATGTGCGTGAAATATACAAGAAAATCGAACATTTAGATTTAGAACATCTAGACCACTTATTTTGATAAACCAAACCCGTCTGGAAATCCCACAGTGTCCCGACTTATATATCATATGATCACTCATAGGAGAAATTGGTTTGGGCCCACTGTGAGAAAATGGTTAAGGATGCACCTTCGTGGTGACTATTTTCTGAAGGAGCTTTAAAAATGCTCCTAAATCACTTATTTTTAATGAACCAAACCCATCTGGAAATCCCACAGTGGCCCGACTTATTTTTCACATGGTCACTCATAGGAGAAATTTATTTGGGCCTACTGTGGAAAAATGGTCAAGGGTGCGTCTTCGTGGTGTCCAAATTTAGAAAGAACATCAAAAATGCTTCTAGACCACTCATTTTGATAAACCAAACCCATCTGGAAATCCCACAGTGGCCCGACTTATATTTCACGTGATCACTCATAGGATAAATTCGTTTGGGCCCACTATGGGCAAGTGGTCAAGGATGCGCCTTCGTGGTGTCCATATTTGGAAAGAGTATTGAAAATGCTTCTTGACCACTCATTTTTAACCACAGGTGTGGCGAAGAAGTCCACACTTTTCTGACTTAAGCTGGCCTGATAAAAACATCTAGGCCGGCTTCGGACCCAAATATTTTTACATTTGATTTTTGACCTGTTTTCTTTTCTGGGTATACCCTACGTCGGCTATGCGACTCAATGCCATGCATCGATTTAATTCCACATAAAATGATGAGGTGGCACCTAAGCGATCAGTTTTTCTACCGAAGTTGCTTATCTATCAATTGTTCATAATAGGCAGGTACCTATTTATGTGAAGGTCAGGGATTATCTTCGGCAGGTATAGCATTGAGTCTAGATGAGAGTTTTTTCTTATTAACTATTTGATTTTTTATATTCAATTTATTCCATTCCATTTTCGAAATGTTTATGATGTTACTGAAACTTATACCAAAACCATACATACTCCAGTGGCGAACTTAGCAAAGTCAATTTCCAACACCCAATATAAAAAGCATTAATTTAATGCCCAACGAAAAGAAAGACAGACAACTGTTTTAAGCAGCTGTATTGGTGCTTTTTCGGCCAAGAACTAAGAATCTGATTTACAAAAAGAATAAAATGAGAAAAGGTGAATTTTGTCTTTCATTCGCAGCGGTTTTTACACTGAATCACTTTAAGAGAGACCACTGAAATTGGAGATTAATTTCATGGAAATTGTCACCGCAAACATCATACCTATACAGGTGCAGACGGCTAGAATAAAGCAAAAAGGTGGCCAAAACAAAACAGAGAAATAAGGCAAAGCAAACAAATAACAAACAAGACTACACACGAACAAGAATAGGGCCGCAACAAACATAGACCATCAATTATGTGGGCCATTAGATTTCAATCATATTTCTAAACAAGCCAATCATGATGTTGAAACATTCTATTTATAAAAGGAAAAAATATGGATCATCATCAACTATCCCCCCAAGAAAAATTTAGAGACACAAACACACACACACATACAAACCGACAGGTTCAAATATACAAGGTCTGTTGTTTGCACCGATAAATATAGTAATATGGTGTTGCTTGTTTCTGTTTAGCTTTGCTAGTGCTTGTTTTGTTGGTGGACAAGATTGTTGTAAATTATTTCAGTGTGATTACGTTGCATGGTGGATCAAATGTATGTCAGTGGGTTGATTTAGTAGTTGGCTTTTTTAGCGATATGTGATGTGTGGTGACAAACGTGAGATCACACAAGGTGGGGGGAAACAGGGAAAACACAACACGGGGGGATATATAAATAACTATTTTCCACTATTATTATATGAAATACATACCAATTTGATGAATACTGCACCCGTTCACAGTTTCAATTTTATAATTCCAAAGTAATTTATACTTTACTTCCGCTTTTCAATTGGGAAAAACACACAATTTCACTCACACAAATTGGGGAAAGAAAAGAGTGTACACAACAAATGCGATTTCTTTGACTTTCTTGTCTACGCCCCAGTCTAAGGTCAGTTTTTTCGTTATTCCCGTTTTAGAATTTCATTCTTTTCACATGTGGCTGTTTTAGAAACTTAATATATTTCACTAATTTCAATAATTTTCAACAAGTAAATAAATGCAAATGCGTTTTTCTATTAAACAAACAAATTCTTCACGTCAAATGTTTCACAAACCAAAGACGAAGCTGCTGACAAAACAACACAACCGATTACCAAATCATCAGCTGATGAATCGGGCAATCGATAACAAGTGATGGCGATAGTTTTATTGCCTCAACTGCTGAGCCACACATCAAATTTGATGTATTAATAATGCCATGTTCTTAAGAAAATAGAAACAACGTAAAAATTATGAAAGAATATAATGAAAAACAATAAAATATAAGCCTCATAACGTATGTTAATGCTAGAAACACAATTGGAGCGAACGACGAATTTTTTCGCGGCGTATGTTCGTCGTCAAAAATAAAAAACATATGTGTATATGGAAGTGCACACAATAACGGCGCCGGCGAAAATTTCGTCGGTCGCCGCGAACTCAATTAGCTTTATTTCTATTTCATACGCCGGCGAACGGCGACAAAACAGTACAAGGTGGCCATACTTGTACGAATTTTATGTGTTTTAGTGCATAAAGTTACTTTTTACTTTAAAATTTGTTATGGTCACTCTACTATCTGTTATTCGTATAAAAAAAACATAAATAATTTGATTTTTTATTTGTGCACTTGCGCCTGAGTGAAGATGGATATCAGTGAATTTATAATAGAGAAGATGGACATAACTGAAATTATAAAGAATTATGAGTTCTTGTATAATTTTCATTGTAGTCAACAAATGAGCAAAAAGTAAACAACTTCATCAGCTGTTTTATAATTTCGTCGGTATTGTGTTCCATACGACGAATTTTCGCGGCTCATTTTGTCGCCGCGTAGGGCGAAATTCGTCGTTCGCTCCAATTGTGTTCCTAGCATAAGGTGGGAATGCATAAAACGCTGATAGAAGATAGTCAACACAAATTGGCCTTCATTTCATTGCAGTAAATTGTCAGCGCGATTTCATTTTAGTTCAGAATGTGAAATTTTTACCAAAAATTTTCAGCTAATTATTCTGGACGTTGCACCTTAAAGAGTGAGCTAAAATAAAACATCATTCGAAGACTATTCAGGAACCTACAGCACCGAGAAAGTTTCCTTAAGATCAAGAGTTAAAAATCTTCATTTTTCATGTTTAAGCTGAAGACAAGCTAAATAAATATATATTATATGAAAGATATAACTGTTTTTATGACCCAAGACATCATACATAAATTTTTAAGGTAGGAAAATAAGGTAGAAATTGTGTGGTAGAAAAAAGCAATATGTTCGGCCGGTTAGAACTTTGAAAAAAACTTTGGAAAAAAAATCAAAAACAAGAAAAAAATTCTGTTGAAAAATACTCTAAAATTAAAAACAGCAAATATAGGGAGTTACCGTTAGGGCGGGCCTATACGAAGACGAGGATCTGTAAATGAAATTTTCGTCATAGGTCATTACGATATTCAAATACGATACTTGAAGCGATTCCGGTGAATAACGTCGCTAAAATCACCATAATACTGAATATATGGAGGTAACGTTGTATGGGGTCTATACGAATACCTGGATTTGCGATTTTCGAAGGCCTGCGTTAAATGGGGGCTATACGAAAACGTGGCCCTGCTCAGACATTTTTCTGTCGTAGGCTGTAATAGCCATTATGAAGTTCAAATATCAAATTTAAAACAATTCCGGTGAATAATGTCGCTAAATTCATTCAAATACCGAATATAGGGAGGTACCGGTGCTATACGAAAACGTGGACCTATATGTGTAATTTTCTGTTTTAGAATGCAGTACCCATTAGAATCTTGAAATTACATTTCCGGTAAAAAGTGTGGCATAAATCATCAAAATACCGAATATATGGAGTGCCGTTGTATGGGGACTACATAAAAATATAGACCCAAATTGACAGTTTAATGTTTACATATACAGCAATGTGATGTTAAAATATTGACTAAAATACCCAAAAAACTTGTGTCAATATTAATCATTTCAATTATTTTGTTTAAAAATACATTTCTACAAGTTATTATCTAGGTAATTGTTACAATTGACCAATCACAATAAATTTTGGTTATTCACATCATTATGAATGATAAAATAGGTGAATAATCACGGTAATAGCTTCCAAACACTGTATGTAAACGCTCAATAACGATTTAACTGTTGTTTCGATATTTTTCTACAAACCGATCACTGAACAATCGATTTAATGATGGTATTTTGCCAATCAGCTGTTTCATAAATCACAACAATGACATATGATATGGTAACCCTGGAAAACAGTTGTTTTTTTTTTGGAGTGAATCAAATTTGAAATCCCTGTTATCGCTCTTTTTGTTTTGATTATTATTTCCAGACATCCTCCTTTTGCACACGTCTTTCCAAATGTCCTGTGATCCTGCTGATATACAATCGATTTACAATGAACATTTTCGAAATTTGGTGGAAATCAATGAGACTACAACAACAACTAACTCATCATCAGCCTCGTCTGGAAGTGCCAGTGCCACGACGGACATAACAAAAGCCCATGCAGATATATACAATCCTGCGGTGAAGTTTACCGACGATGACATTTGGATATTTGGTTATGGATCCTTAATGTGGAAAATTGACTTTCCCTGTATCGATTGGCAACGTGGCTACATTTGTGGTTATCAGCGGCGTTTTTACCAGCACAGTATTGATCATCGGGGTGTACATGTAAAACCTGGACGTGTAGTGACCTTAGTACCAGCCACGGCGAATGACCGGGTTTATGGAGTGGCATATCGAGTGGCGGCCAGCGAACGAGAATCGGTTATAAAACATTTGGATTTCCGTGAAAAGAATGGCTATGAACGGTGTACTGTGACATTCCATGTTTTCAATACGGAGGGTGATGAAAAAAGTACAGAGAAATCCTTTGACATAGTTATTTACATTGCCACACCGGAGAATGAATCATGGGCCGGTGATGGCGAAAATAGTCAAATTGAAAATATTGCTGAACAGATATTCAGCTCAGCCGGGCCGAGTGGTCGCAATCGGGAGTATCTTTTCAATTTAGTTAAATCCATGGAACATTTATTTCCCGGTGTGCGGGATGATCACTTAGTGGAATTGGAAGAGGCTGTTAGACGTCGCATTGCCAAAGATGAGGAGCCATTGTTGGAGGTAGCTATGAAAAAGGAATTGCAGGAGGTCCTCTGCTGCCGGGAAAAGGAAATTAAGATGAATGCAGAAGAACGTGTCTCGTGGCAGCAGAGTAAAATTGATCATCTGATAAAGTTTTGCCATAAAACTGGCTGGCGTGAATACTTTCTTGCCAAGGAGCTATATGGCATACAAATTTTGAGTTTATGGAACGACGATGATCGTCGGAAATCTTAGAATGAAAGAGAGGAAGAATGTATAGAGCTGTTATACAATAGAAAATTAATAAAAGGCATGAAAAAAATAGAAACAAACAGATGCTCTGTTCTAGAACCCGCAAGAATCTACTAGCTTTGCAATTTATTTTTATCATTTAGGAAGGAAATTTTGACCCTTTGTAGGGGAGGAACCAGAAAGAGTAGGTAGATATATCCCATCTTCATACCAGACCTCGGGCTAATAAAAATATTATGATGTGTGTAATTTGAAGAGAACCGGATGCTTATATTGAATTTTATGATCGTTTTGTTTATTCAAAATTTTGACCCTTTGTGGGGGAAGAACCAGAAGAAATTACCCGATATCTACTATCTTTATAACAGATCTCGTGTTGATACAAATATAGGGATGTGCCAAGTTTGAATGGAATGGGATGTCAATTTCTCGTTTTATGAGCTTCATGTGGGTATTCAAAATTTTAACCCTTCGTGGAGGAGGTACCAGAAGGAGTGGACTGATATTTCCCATCTTCACAGAAGATTTTGTGTTAATAGAAATAATGGGATGTGTGAAATATGAACCGAACCGGATACTTATTTTGAATTTTATAATCGTTTTGGTTATTCAAAACTTTGACCCTTTGTGGGGGAGGTACCAGAAGGAATGGTCCGATCTCTACCATCTTTATAGCAGATCTTGTGTTGATGGAAATATTGAGATGTGCCGAGTCTGAATGGAATCGGATGTTCATTTCGTTTTTATTAACTTTATAAATATTCAAAAATTTGACCCTTTGCAGGGAAGGTACCAGAAGGACTGGACCGATATATTCCATCTTCACACCGGACCTTGGGCTATTAAAAATATTGTGATGTGTGTAATTTGAAGAGAACCGGATGCTTATTTTGGATTTTATTACCGTTTTGGTCATTCAAAATTTTGACCCTTTGTGGGGGAGGTAACAGAAGGAATGGCCCGATCTCTACCATCTTCATAACAGATCTAGTGTTGATAGAAATATTGATATGTGCCAAGTCTGAATGGGATCGGTTGTTAACTTCGTGTTTTATGAGCCACATTAAAATTCAAAATTGTTACCCTTTGTGGGGGAGGTACCAGAAGGAGTGGACTGATATTTTCCATCTGCACAGCAGATCTTATGTTAGTAGAAATAATGGGATGTTTGAAATATGAAGAGAATCGGATGCTTATTTCGGATTTTATGATCGTTTTGGTTATTCAAAATGTTGACCCTTTGGGGGGGAGGTACCAGAAGGAATGGTCCGATTTCTACCAACTTTATAGCAGATTTTGTGTTGATGGAAATATTGAGATGTGCCATGTCTGAATGGAATGTGATGTCAAGTTCTAGCTTTATGAGCTTCAAGGATATTCAAAATTTAGACCCTTTGTGGGGGAGGTAGGCGAAGGAGTGGACCGATATACTCCATCTTCACAGAAAATCTTGCGTTAGTAGAAATAATGGGATGTGTGGAATTTGAAGAGAAACGGATGCTTATATCGGATTTTATGATCGCTTTGGTTATTAAAAATTTTGACCCTTTGTGGGGGAGGTACCAGAAGGAATGGCTTGATCTCCACCATCTTTATAAAAAATCCTGTGTTAATGGAAATATTGGGATGTGCTAAGTCTGAATGGAATCGAATGTTAATTTCGTGTTTTATGAGCTATATGAATATTCAAAATTTTGACCCTTTGTGGGGGACGTACCAGAATGAGTGCACCAATATATTCCATCTTCACACCAGACCTTGGGCTAATAAAAATATTGTGATGTGTGTGATTTGAAAACAATCGGACTCTTATATCACGTTTTATAAGGGTTATAATTATTCCAAATTTTCACCTTTTGTGGGGGAGGTACTTGATGGAGTGTACCGATATTGTCCATTTTCGCACCTGACCTGGCACTGATGCAAATATTATGATGTGTAAATTTGGATTAAAATCGGAGTAAAGGATCCTCCATGGACCAAAACAGCCTTAGAAACGTACCCATTTGATTTATTTACGGTTCCATGATATTAGATCCTCTTCGTTTCCTCATAGATTATATGCCTCAATTTCACACCGCCAATTTTATGTATGACAGATTCTAACACAACCCCAGTACTATCTCTCTATTCTCATATATCTCAAAAGGATATTAAAATGTAATTTATAATCCGTCTAGTATTTTAAGTATAGCTCTCAAACACTTCCCCCACCCCCCCCCAAAAAGACAAGCAAAAACCTAGTCGGTTTTTTTTAAATTTCTGTCCCAATGCATTTGTCCTCAATGGAAATAATTTTGTCTCTGCTGGATGTCTTCTTCGTCTTCGGCGACTATGAGGCTCTCCCTCTCTTCTGTTGGGTTTGTTGTTTTTAAGCATCTGCAGCTTATGTTAATGTTGTGGTTGTTGTCGTTGTTTTTGCCACAGATGGAATGGAACTGCCCAAAGTCTCCGAATGCTAGCCAAAGAATTAATTGTACAAAAGTAATAAATACACAACTACGTCCTGGTCCTGGCCGATACCGATGCGCCGTTGCAAAAGATGATGACAACCCGTACAAAATAGGAGAATACATAATATAACGCCTTGCGGCCAATTGGCGCTATTTTTCATTTGCCAATAAATATTGTGCGGCAGTGTTATGTGAAGGTGGTGGTGGTGGGTATGTGTGATGTCTACACGGAGAAAATGTGATGGGGTTTAATGGAATTCAAGGATGTAAATGATACTAGGATTTGGATCTCAATTTCCTTTTTAAGAGATGCTATGGGCTAAAGGCCATAAGTATGTCTTCTTTAAACTGAAGTCCTCTCAAAACGGACTTATATACACAGAAGTACCCTAAGTAGGCAGAAATCCATTTAAAGTATTCAATATATACAAAGGATTACACCGAGTGAAGGTCCATAGGGAGACGGGTTTATTGAAACTTAACATCTACCTAAAACATTTTTTTAATACTTTTTGGACTGTTCCAATTTTTAAACCCTCCATAAGGCAATACCACCCTAAACGTAGTTGCCAAAGCTACCCTGGTTTGTCTTGGCAGCCGACATTTGTCTGCTGACTGCGGATGGACTCCGATGATGGCATTAATGCTGTAATGCGGCAATTGGTTCAGTATGAATGCTATTAAGACCTGCCTAATATGCTGACCTAAGGGGAAGAACTTTCTTCTCCTTATAAAAATGGTCCAATGGAGTTATGAGAAGGCTCCATGTTGCAGTTCTCAACAAGTTCCCCTTATCCACGCTTACGAACTTTGTGATCTGGGCGATATGCTTACGTAGATGGTCTGACCCAAGTTAAATGACGGGTTGCCGACTAACTTGATACTATGGTTAAGTCTGGAGACCTGTGATACCCTCCTCTTATTCGGGTGGGGGCATCGTCGTCTACCGTGCAGAAGATGGAGCAATCTGCTCGGCCAGCACTAAACCCCTATGGTCATTAACTAGGACGGAATGCCACAACTCATGGTGGACATTAACATCCCTTAGTACCAGGTGTCTACCAAGAGCGGACTTATATCTGGCAAATAACGCGATAGGCCTGTATGGAACAGAATAGTGTAACAGAAATGCTTATCCCCCACCTCCACTTCTGGTGCGATCCTTACTCAATACGTCGCAATCATAACATAGTTGTGGGCTGTAATTTTCATTGAGTTTGGTTTCCTGCACCGATGCGACCATGGACCGGGGTATTCTTTAATCCCGTCACGGACCAAAAGAATCCGGAGCAGGCATTCCAGGATATGCTGCTACCAAAGCAGGAAAATAAATAAATATGTATGTGGGAGCCGCTACACGAAAACAGGAATGTTGTTGTTTCGGGTCAATCCGGTATTGTAGATCCCGCCGCCGTTGGATTGCCTATTTTTGTTTTTGCAGCTACCGCTGTTTGTCGGTGACATCCGTATCGGTAGCTGATTCTATTGGCAAACCAGTTCTTCCGAGAAGCATGCGTCATTTGGTGTTTAATTATGAACGCGTAATTAATCCTCTTTTTGGAGACAATTTGTTGCATGCCATAGGTTCGTAGATATATTTTCTCTGCCCATTTTAGAATTTTCAAAGCCGCCACGAAACATTACACCCTTCCACATTCGTCTGAAACTTGGATCGTTGCTGAAGCCCTAATTGGCATTTTTGCTAATAAACGTTAGATTAAAACACGTGCTCTTCTCGATGATCACACAGAGACAGTGTGACCGCTGGAAATTTTCAAAAAGTATCAGAAAAAGTATCATTTCTTAAAAATAGTGGCACATATCACTTTAAATGGTGGCACAGAAAGTGGCACAATTTATTTCACATTTTATTTAAAACAAGAAAAAAAGTTGTAAGTACGGCCGGGCCGAACTTTGAATACCCTCCACCATGTGGTAAAAATTTGGCAATTTTCACAAAAAAAAAATATAAAATCGGTTAAAAATTCTGTTGAAATCTTAAAAATACCGAATGTAGCCGTATATTAGGGTCTATACGACGACGTGGACCTGCATAGGCAAATTTTTTCATAAGCTATTATAATATTTAAATGCGAAACTTGAAAAAAAATCTATTTATAATGAAGCTAGAATAAATAAAATAAGGAATATAGGGAGGTGCATTGGGGTTATAAAACGTGGACCTGCACAGACAATTTTCCGGCATAGGCTGTAGTATCCATTACGAAGTTCAAATATAGAATTTGAAATAGTTCCCGTAAAAAAATACCGAATATCGGGGTACCATTATATAGGGGCTATAAGAAGACGTGAACCTACACAAACAATCTCCTGTCATATGTTTTAGTATCTATTACGAACTTTAAATACCAAGTTTGAAACAATTCCGACAAAAAATGTCCCTAAATTCATCCAAATGCCGAATATCGGGGGTACCGTTATATGGGGGCTATACGAAGACGTAGACCTGCACTAAATTCATTTCGTTCGAAAGCTGGAGTGATTTCCACAGACGGACGGACATTGATAAATCGACGTAGAATTTTATGCTGAGCAAGAATATATATACTTTGTGGGGTCTAAAATGTATATTTCGAGGTGTTACAAACGGAATGACAAACTTAATATACCCTTCCTACTATGGTG